AAATTATATATAAAAAAATAAAAACAAAAGTGATAATCCACCGTTTTTGTTTCTTTTTTTATGACAGTGTTTGTCTGAGTGTGTTTATTTTTTCTTTTTTTTATTATTATTTTTATTATTATATGTTTATTTTTTCATTATTACAATTATATTAATAGACTTTAATATTTAACTGTAATGCAGTAGTTTTTGTTTATTGGATTTTTGGTTATGATAATCAAAACAAATATAATATAAAAAATGGTGATGCCCCTTTTTTATTAAAAAATAATTTTTTGATTGGTGTCCATATTATTTTGTGGTTGGTGTGTGTATATGTGTATTTTAGGGGTTATATTGTTGTTGTTGCTATTATTATAATTATTACTTTTCAACAAAACACATAATATATATTACGATCTATATTATAAAATCAATACTTTTCATTATTTTTTCCAATAGAAAATAATCTCTTTTATTGTGATTTTTCTTGAATATAAATATTTTTTTTCAAGTTATTTTTATTATTGGGTTATTATTTCGTTATTATAATTATTATAATACATCCAATATCTAAAGATTTTGATGTTGATTAAATAATTGCTAAAAAAAAAAAAAAAGGTGAAAAAAAAGAAAAAAAATAAAAAAATAAAAAATGAATAATATTAAAAATGATTAAATAAATGGTTTTTATAGATAATACATCTATATATCAAAATAATATAAAATAATATATGATATTAATTTAATTATATACTTTTTAAAGTTATTAGATAAAAAAAAAAAATCATAATATAGATTAAAGGACAAAAAAGGTTTATTTTATTTTATTTAATTTATTTAATTTAATTTAATTTATATTCTACAAATTTAATTGTATACTATTTTAAATTAAAAAAGGTAATAAAAAATATAATAAATAAAAAAATTTATCGGTTTTCTAAAATTTACACACATTCCATTTTTTTTTTATTTTTTTTATTTTTTATTTTTTTTTGATTGACGTTCTACAATTTTTTTATTCATACATCACTTTAAATGACTTTGAACCTTTAAATGAAAAATTAACTATTCAATGAACCTAAATTGAAAAAATTGAAAATTAACCTTTCAATGAAACTTGAACTGAAATTATTTAAAAAAAAAAAAAAAGGAAAAAAAAAACATTTTTATTTTTTTTTTTAAAATTTTTTTTTTTTTTATTTTTTTAATTTATAAAATTAAGTGTTCATTTTTTTTTTTTATTTTATTTTTTATTTTTTTTTTTCATAATTAATAAATTTTTAGTTGAAACTACATACATTTAAAAATGGTCTATAATGTTTTAGGGGATTACAGCAAACTCGCTGTAGAAGTTAAAAAAGATAATGTAAGATATAAATAATATAATATTAATAATAATGAGAGATCGGAAAATATATATAAATAGAATTTTAGATAAGTTTAATAAAGTCGATTTATAAATATATTAATATTTTTTTATCGTATAAATATTAATGTTATTTCAAATATAGCAATATTATATTGGTATCGATATTGGTGGCACCAATACAAGAGTAGTTTATGCTACTGCCAAAGGTGATTATTATACCATCAAGGAATTTTTATGCAGCAGTGTTAAAGTTCTTCTTGAAGAATTATTCATTATTCAAGATACCCTTTTAACTGAATTTGTAGAACCAACCTTTACTACTATTGATCTTGCCGGTCCACATCTTTCAAAAAATAAAGTAAATATTTAATCATCATGATGTGTATTCAAATACTTTTCAAAAATACTAATTTTCTTTCTTTTTTTATTATTAGTACAAATTTACCAATTATGTCGAATCAGATAATATCCTTTTAACTGAATATTTACCAAAGAAACTTTGTCCAGAAGGTCGTTACGCAATTTTAAATGATCTCGAAAGTGGTTCCTATGGTATTATTCCATATATTATTTCTGGTAAATCAGAAGAAATCTTTTTAAATTTAATTACTCCAGAAGAAGCTAAAGAAATCCCAACAAATGGTGTTTGTATGTAATACATTACTTAAAAAAAAAAAAAAAAAAAAACAATTTTATTTTTGTATATTAATAAAATTTTATTTTATTTTAAATACAGTTGTTGTTTTAGCTGCTGGTACAGGTTTGGGTGTTGGTTTAATCCATAAATATGGTGAAGAATATAGAGTTATCCCATCAGAATTTGGTCATATTAGTATTTGCTCAGATGACGGTGATTGTGAACAAGAACTTTTTGCCAAATTATCAGAAAATATTAAAAATACTGAACCGTAACTATTCCATAAAAAATAGATAATACATCAGCACAATATTGTACATATATTAACATATTTATAATATTTTTTAGATCAAGAAAAAATTATTGTTTAGAATATGAAGATATTGTTAGTGGTCGTGGTATTCAAGCTTTATATATGATCAATAAGAATCAAAATGAACCAGCTAGAGACAATGCTGAAAGTAGGTTACTTTAATTTCTTTTTTTTTATTTTTATAAAAATCATAAGCTAACCATCTTTTTTTTTTATTAAAAAAATAGTTGCCACTCAAGCTACAAATGCCCCAGCAAATTTAGATTGCACCTGTGTTAAAACTATGAAAATCCATTATAAATATCTTTTAAGATGTGCCAGAGAAATTAGTGTTGGTACATTTGCCACCGGTGTTTATTTAATTGGTGACAATATTGTTAGAAATAAAAACTTTGTTGATTCAGTTAAAAATCAATTAGAGTTTGAATTTAAAGATCATCCAAAGATTGAATGGCTTCGTCATATTCCAGTATTTGGTCAATCTGCTCTCAAAAATTTAAATTTAATTGGTACAGTTTATTATGGTATTAATGCTGCCAAGAAGTTACCATCTTTATAACCAACCAAATAAAATAATTATAATAAAATAGTAACCTTTCAATTTACAGATACCATCCTAGCCTATGTTTTTCTAATTTTTTCAATAAAAAAATAAACATTTATTATTTTTAATTATAAAAAAAAAAAGATGTAAATATGATATCTTCTCAGAATCAAGAAATCAATAATTTGAAAAGTTATTGAGAGATCATAGCAATATTGGTTTTATGCATGTTTATGCTCCAATATTGCAGAATCATCAAGGATTCTTTGGTACTTTTGATATTGTTGCAATAACATCTTCATTCAATTGAATAGCAATAATACTTGGAAAAAAAGAAATATGAATTATTTAAAAAAATATAAAAAAAAAAAAAAAACAGAAGTCTATATTTGAAAATAAAAAAATTAAAATATGAAAATTAATATAAATAAAAATAAATTATTTTTTTTTAAATTTTTTTTTTTTTTTTTTTTTTTTTTTTTTTTTTTCAAATTTTTTAAAAAAATTTTTTTTTTCATTTTTTTCATTTATGATTGCGCTCTTTTTATTTTTGTGTATCATTAATTAATTTCGAAATTTTTATAAATTAAAATTAAAAAATCTAAGAAAAATTATTCATTTTTAATAAAGGAAAAAAAAAAGAAACAAACAAAATAATAATAACAACAATACAAAAAAATCATAGTTTTGTTTTGTTTTTTTTTTTTTTATATTTTTTTTTTATATAAAGCTATATTAATAATAATATTAAATAAATGGAATATAATAATAACGAAATTAATAGCGAAAATGATAATGAAATAAAAGACAACAACAACATTGATAATACTACCAATAGTAATAATATTTTAAATAAAGCTACAACGGCCACAACATCTGCCCATAGTATAAATGCTCCTAGTCATGCACCATTTGCAATTAGAAAAAGAAAAACACTTGATAAATCTGATTTAAATATCAATAGCAGTGGTAATAGTGACAATAATAATAGTAACAATAGTAACAATAATGGTAACATTAGTAATAATATAAATAACAATGTAAATAATAGCAATAAAAATAATGATAATAAAAGTAAACAAGAAAGTCAACATAAAGTTTTAGAAGACTATCAAAAAAAATTAGAGAAGGAGCAACAAGAAATTAAAGAAAAAAAACAACTAAAACTAAATAAACAACAGGTAGACCATCAATCACCTCCACCAAGACCGCAAAGGCAAAGAGTTCAGCTGTATAATTTGCAAGAAGAAAATATTGAAGAGGAACAATACAGTATATATAATAGTTCGAATAATAATAGTCGTGGTGGTCGAACTAGAAGACAAACCTATCATATAGAAGAAGAGAGAGAAGAGGAAGAGGTAGAGGAAGAGGTAGGGGAGGAAGAGGTAGGGGAGGAAGAGGTAGGGGAGGAAGAAGAGGAAGATGTAGCAGAAGTTGCAGAGAGAGATGAAGAAGAGGGCGAAGAAGAAGAAGAAGATGTAGTAGAAGTTGCAGAAGAAGAGGAAGAGGAGGAAGGTGGTGAAACCGATGAAGATGAAAAACCAAAATATAATATTAGTTTAAGACCAAGAAGGAATACTACCCAGCTACTTAATCTATACGATGAAGATGACTATAGTTCAAGAAATTCAAGAAAAAGCTCATATAACGATTTACCAAAAAGAGTAACTATACCCATCATAACTACCATACCAAAGCTATTTTAAGAATATCTATTAATATTTTTTTACATTAGAATAGAAAAACACTACATCAAATCGAATTTGAAAGACAACAGGAACAACATCAAAATAAAAGACGAACCAGAAGTATGTATTATGAGGAAGAAGAGGAAGAGGAGGAGGAAGAAAATAGAAAGCCATTGGCAACATCATCGAGATCAAGATCAACTCATATAGATTTAAATCAATACGAGCTTGATGCATTTTTTGCAAGAAAAAAGAAAAAAATTGATAATCAAAAAGAATATAATAGTATTATCGAAAAATTAAATAAATTAGAGCAAGCTCAACAGGATGATATGGATCAAGATTCAAACTTAGACATAGATGACAATAGTAATAATACCAATAACACCGAAACTGTACCAACTAGTAATATATCACCACAAACAAAAATTCACACTAGAAGATCACTATCACTTGCAGAAAATACAAATCATATGGATGAGTCTTCAGAGTATAAAATTCATCATACTCCATCTCCATCAAAAAAAATTCTTATGTCACCATCAAAAGCCAATAGTCCCAATAAATCCAAGCCTGATGATTTAAATATTAAACAAACACCAAAAAGAATTAGATTGCCAACAGAGCGTTATGATCCAAAGAAAGCAAATGAAAGATCACATCCAAATAGACCAATTGCTAGACCACATCAAGCAACCTCATCACTATTTTCAAATAGAAGTGCAAATAATTGGAGACCCTACAACAACAATATTCAATTTGAGGAAGAATTATCTGACGATGAATATGGCGTAGGCAAACGTGGTTCATCAGGTCCATTACCAATCAACTTGAACAATCAACTTAAAGATTCTGAACCATTAACAGTCGACTCACAAATTAATTTCACATCGGTGGGTGGGCTAGATAAACATATTCAATTGATGAAGGAGATGCTGATGCTACCACTATTGTATCCAGAGGTATTTAATAAATTCAAAATTCAACCACCAAAAGGTGTATTATTTTATGGTCCACCAGGTACAGGAAAAACCTTATTAGCAAGAGCACTAGTTAATGAATGTAATGTAGGTGGTCAAAAAGTATCGTTCTTTATGAGAAAAGGTGCCGATTGTCTTAGTAAATGGGTTGGTGAAGCTGAAAGACAACTAAGACTACTCTTTGAACAAGCCAAAGCAATGCAGCCATCAATTATATTTTTCGATGAAATTGATGGTTTAACACCAGTGAGAAGCAGTCGTCAAGATCAAATTCATAATAGTATAGTATCGACACTTTTGGCATTAATGGATGGGCTTGATAATAGAGGCCAGGTTATTGTAATCGGTGCAACAAATAGAATTGACACTATCGATCCTGCTTTAAGAAGACCTGGCAGATTTGATAGAGAACTCATGTTTTCATTACCATCAAGAGAAGCTAGATTAAAAATTTTATCTATCCATACCGATAACTGGATTCCTCAACCTGAACCCAAACTATTACAAGAAATTTCAGATCAAACAGCTGGCTATTGTGGTGCCGATATCAAATCATTATGTTCGGAGGCAGTATTATGCTCATTAAGATCAACATTTCCACAAATTTATAAAACTTCAAATAAGTTGCAACTATCAGTTGAGTCTATTAAAGTAGAAAAACCACATTTCCAAGAAGCAATGAAGTTAATTACACCATCATCAAAACGTAGTGTATTTTCATATTCCAACCCATTATCATCAATTATAAAGCCACTATTACAACCAACATTAAAACTACTATTAAAAAAAGTTGAAACCATTTTCCCAATTTCACAATTGAAAATCAACTCTCAGTCAATATCTGACCAACGTGATCAAGACGATAATGAAAATGAAATAAATATTGATGGTGTTAGTCCAATGGACACCGAAACAAGCGCAAATCATAACATTTTGTTAAATAATATTTCAATTTCAAATTTCTCAGTCTATAGACCAAAACTATTAATCTATGGTCAATATGGTATGGGACAAATACAATTGGCAAATTCACTACTTTACCAACTAGAAGACTTTCCAATATTTTCAATCGATATATCAACTTTAATTAGCGATCAAACATCAAAAACTATTGAAGAATCATGTATTAGACTCTTAACAGAAGCTAAAAAGGCAGCACCATCAGTAATCTATATACCCAATATAGACTCATGGATTGGAAATCAATTTGGTAATCTTTCAGATATATTACTACACTTTTTAAACACAATTGATTCGAACCAATCAATTTATTTAATCTCAACTTTGGAATCTAGTAATCGTGAAATCTCACTACCCATCGAACAATTATTCTCAACTAAATTCGAAATCCCATCACTATCATTAAACTCGATATCACTATTCTATGAAAACATCTTTAAAGATATCAGAGAAATTGGTGACTCAATCAGAAAAAATATAAACAACAAAATTAAAGAAGATGAACCCCTACCAGTTATACCATTCCAAACCGATGAGGTTAGAGAATTAAAAAAGGATAAGCAATTAGTTAGACAGCTTCGTATATTAATACGTGAAATCGTTTCAAAAATTATATTTGATAGAAAGTATATCACATTTTTTAGAGATGTCGTAAGTACTTAAAACTTTAAACTAATAACAATTCATTCAATATTATTAATATTGTATTTTTATTAACAAACCATTTTTTTATAATTATTAGAATATCGAACAATTTCCAGAATATTATGAACTCATTAAAAATCCAATGAGTTTGCAAAAAATTTCACAGAAATTAGACTCTTTTGAATATATATCTTTGAATTCATTTTTAAAAGATATAGGTTTAATTGTTACAAATACAGATTTATACTACCAAGTCCACGATCCAAATTCTTTAGAATCAATTAAAGCTAATTCTAGGGCCAAACAACTTCAAGATGAAATTCTATCAATGGTTGATAATATCGATCCCAACTTGGTAGTATCATGCGAAAACATTTCTAAAAAGTACAATAAAAACCCAACAGTGTTGTTCTCAAACCAAACCATTGCAACAAATAGTAATACCAGTGCCAACACCAGTAGCAGTAATTTACATCGTACTGTTAACAACAACAATACAATTAATAGAAATGACAGTATTTCAAAATTACAAATTAATAAAGATATAAATATAAATATACCCTCAAGAAGTGCGAGACTTAGAGGCGAACAAGCTCCAGCTTTAACAGACGAAATGTTTCAGCAATTCTTTAAAAAGAAAAGAAAGAAACCTTCCTCTTTTAAAGATGAATTGGGTAGTCCAGTTTCAAATTTCGAAAATGATGAAGAAAACGAAAATCAAGATAATTTTAATGAAAATATAGATAATAATAATAACAATAATATTGACAATGAAAATAACAATTCCGAAAATCAAGAACTATGCAATACTCATGAAAATCAAAATGATGAATCACCAAACAACAACTTAGATACCAAAAATGATAACTTGAATGTAAATAATAAATCACCAAATGATGATACAAAAAATAACAACTTTGAAAGCCAAGCTAATAAAGAAAATATCGATATAAATACAACTATAAATCAAAGTCCAAAAACAATTTCCAATACAGCTACAGATATAAACATTAATACAGATCTTAACTCAAATGTCACAATTACCACCAACACTTCAAACACCAATAATGATATATCTAATACAACCACAAATGATGATAATAATGATAATGATCAAATGATAATAGACAATAATAATGAGAATAATAATATTAATAAAGATAAAGAAAAAGATCAAGATCAAGAAAAGGATCAAGATCATCAACAAGAACAAGAGCAAGAACAAGAACAAGAACAACAAGAACAACAAGAACAAGAACAAGAACAAGAAGAACTAGAAGAACAAGAACAAGAAGATGATGAAAATAAAAGAATAAATGAAGAAAATGAAAGATTAGAAAATGAAGAAAAAAATAGATTAGAAAAAGAAAAAATAGAAAGAGAAAGGTTGGACAAAGAAAGGGAAGAAAAACAAAAAGTTGAAAGAAAAGAAAATAATAACAAATTATTTGAAATTGAAAAAGATTTAATTAAAAGATTAGTAACTTTTTCCTCACTATTCAATGTTGAAAGATTATTGGAAAACCATTCAACAATTTGCATGATTGCAAATCAAGTTATAAAAGAGAATACAAGAAATATCAAAGATGAAAATGATATATTCAATATTTTACAAACAATATATTCAAGGATCGATTTTAATTTTTCATAATTTATATTTAAACAATAAATTAAATAAATAAAAATTCATGTTAATTTATTATTGTATTATATAATTAATTTTTAATTTTTTTTTTAAATTTTTTTTTTTTAATCGTGTAATTATTTATTTAGTTTTTTTATTTTAAATAATTAAAAAAAATTAAATTTTTAAAAATCAAAAAAAAAAAAAAAACGAAAAAAGTTTTTTTTAAAATATTTTTTCTTTTTTTCATTTTATTATTTTATTAATATTAACGATTGTTTATTAAAATAAAATGGGTGGAGGTAATAAATACGCAGCAGGTAGTTCAAATAACAAACAAAGAACTGCTTTTTTACATAATCCAAAGAGTAAAAAAACCGCACACATTTTATCACTTCCAAACGAAGGTCTTTGTTATACATGTCATGAAACTATTGAATGGAAAAAGAGATATAGAAAGTACAAACCATTAACTGTACCAGGTAAATGGTAAGTAATACACAAATAATTAAACAATATCTTTCATGATTTTAAAAAATATTAATTATTTATTTATTTATTTTAGTAACAATTGCCATCAAAAGAATGTAAAAAGAGCTTATCATGTATATTGTGATGAATGTACTTTAAAACTCCAAGTTTGTGGTAAATGTGCTAAACCAAAAGATATTATAAAGTAAATATAGATGGATGGATAGAAAATAATAGTAATAAACCAATATTAATATAAAATGAATTATTTTATTTTTATTATAATAGCGATATTACCAGCAAAGAAGTCCAAGATAAAGAACAAGCACAAATTAGAGAGGCTGTTAGAGATATGACTGAAAGAGAAAGAAGAACTTTTTACAGAGAAATTGAAAAGAACCAAGGTGAAGTTGAAAAGAAATCTACTAAAAAAGTTAAAAAAGAAGTCAATCATGACGATGATGAAGAGGAAGAAGAAGAAGAAGGTGAAGAAGAAGATTTTGATAGCGAAGATTATGATGATGAAGATGAAGAAGATGAAGATGAAGGAGAAAGTGAGAAACCAAATGCACCAAAAACTAGAGCTCAATTAACAGTTAAATCAGTTACACAAGATATTGAAAAACTTTCAAAAATATTTACAGACGATGCAGTTGGCACTTTAATTAAATCTAAACCATCATCAGCCGATGACGATAGTATAAAGAATAATAAGAAGAATTTAGATGAAGAGGATGAAGAAGATGAAGACGAAGAGGATGTTAGAGAAGTTTTATCATCTGAACAAATGTACCTTAAACTTAAAGAACAATATAAAAATAAAAGTAAAACTGAAAAACAATCAAATAACTTAGCAAACAACAATAATGAAGAAGATGACGATGAAGAAGATGAAGATGATGAAGATGATGAAGAAGATGCTATTTATGAAGATGAAGACGAAGAAGAAGAAGAAGAAGATGACGAAGAAGAAAACTAAATTAAATTTATACTAAAAAAAAAAAAAAAAAAAAATTAAAAATTAAAAAATAATAAAAAAATTACAAAAAATTAAATCTCATGTATTATCTAATAAAATAAATAATTTATTAGAAGTTGTTGTATTTCTCTCTTTTTTTTATTTTTTTTTTTTTATTACGAATTATAAAAAAAAAAAGTTTTTTTAAAATTTTTTTTTGAAATAATTTTTTTTATTTTTTTTATTTTTTTTTCATATTTTTGATCATTGTGTAAAAAAAAAGTCGACTTTAGTAATAATAATAATATTTTGTAAATTAATTAATAGATTTTATTATTAATATTAAAAACACCAAATATATCAAATATAACATAATCATATAAACCCAACACACACATACACAACACAACACAGCACATATAGTTTTTAAAAAATGCGTCATGGTAATAAATTAGTTAAATTAGGTAGAGATTCAAAACACAGAGAATTGATGTTTCGTACTATGGTAACCCAATTAATTCGTCATGAACGTATTAAAACCACATTAGTTAAAGCAAAAGCATTAAGAAAAGAAGCTGAAAAGATCATCACAATTGCAAAGAGAAATACCAGACAATCACATTCATTAGTTTATTCATATCTCACCGATAGAAAAGTTATCCCAAAATTATTTAAAGAACTTAGACTTCGTTTCAACACTAGAGAAGGTGGTTATACTAGAGTATTAAAATGTGGTACTCGTTTATCAGATAGATCAAAGATGGCATTCATCGAATTTGTCGAAAATGATCTTCAACCACTTCGTGATTTTAAAGCAAACAACAGTAAATTCGGTATCACCAAAAAACCAACTCCACAAGGTACTCTCTTTAGTTTCGAAGAAAAAGAATCTGGTAAAGTTCTTTCATCTGCTTTATCTTTAAATAACAGATTTAAAAAATTAGAATTACAAAAAAAGCAACAAAATTAAAATAGATAATAAAATAAAATAAAATAACATATAAATATAACATATATATACAAATATATATAAAAAGAAAAAAAGGTGCACTTTTATAATAAAGGTTTTTAATTTTTTTAGATTTATTTGTTTTTTTATTTTTATTTTTTTTTGTTTCGTTTGGACATTCCAAAATAGTAAAAAAAGTATCTATATCATTCTGTTTTTTTTTTTTTTCAAATTTAATAAATTAATTGATTATAATAATAATTTAAGGAAAAAGAAAAAATAGTATTAATGTTTTTTTTTTTTGGGGTGTGGGCACATATAATTATATAAATATTTATATTACATATGCAAAATATTATGTAAATTATTTTATTTATTTATTTATTTATTTTTTATTTATTTAATTTTTTTTTTTTTATTTAAATTTAAATTTTTATTTTTTATTATTTTTATTTTATTTATTTTTTATTTTTTTTTATTAAAATTTTTGTTTTTTTTATTATATTTCATTTTTATCTCAAAAAAATATTTATATAATCTTTGTTTATTTTAATTTGATTATATTTTAAAATAGTTGTTACAATAATTATTTTAAAATTATAAAAATAATTATTTATAATAAAAAAAAAAACAAAAAAAAAAAGAAAACAAACAATTTGGATTGTGATTTTTTTTTTTTTTTAAAAATACAGATTTTTAGACCAAATTCTTAATAAACACACGCTGTGCGTTACGAAGGGTATTTATTTAAATCACAACTATAAATAAATTTTTTTTTTTTATAAATAATTATTTTTTTTTTATAAAAAACCAATTTTTTTTTTTTTTATTTTCAAAAACACGACATTTTAATAAAACAAATATAATTCAAATATAATATAATAAAAAATAGGCTTTTATAAATCAATATCATATATATTAGGTTATTAATTATATAATCCTTTTTTTTTTATAATAAAATAATGAAAAGAGATAATATAAATTTGGATGATATGGAATCATATGATAAATCAAGTACTGAGGTTAATGAGGATGGTGTCGACGGTTTAGTCAAGGAGTTTGAAAAGGAAGGTATGAAGTTAAATTCAAAGAGGGTTTCACTTTCAAGTAGTACAGGTATATCAAATACTCCACCAAACACATCACCACCTATTAATTCGTCTATTCAATTGCAACAACAATCTCAGCAATCAAACTTTAATCCATTATCAGTATCAAATAATTTAATGCCACAAATATCACCATTTATTTTAGGTTATGCAAGAGAGGATATGTCAAAAGATGATGAGTTGGCAATTATTCCAAGCTACTTGATGCCTTTACATCCTTTTGCATGCTATCATTCCTTAAATTTCTTGTTAGATTACTTTAAACAATCATGTTTTTATCCAAATACTTTAAATAATAATAATAACGCCAACAACAATAGTAATAAAGAACATTTAAATAAATCATTAAATGAAATAATAGACAATAAACTTCAAATCACAGAGGCTTTAACTAAAGTAATCTATAAATTTATTTATAACGAACACCCAGAATTATTATCACGTTTATCAATTTCAATCGATGACTTTGTAATGTTATTGTTCTTGGTAGCAGAGTATTATCATAATTCAATTATTGACCCACTAAATAATACAAGCCATAGTTTAAAGAAATTAAAATCATCATCATTAAAACCAGCAGCTGCATCCCAATCAAGTTTTACCCCATCATCAGCAACATCATCAACATCAAAATCAAATGTCGCAAATTATTCATATTATGAAATTTTAAACAATTTAATAAATATTTCAACACCTTTAACAAAATCATTTGGCACTGACTCTGAATTTCAAAAGTTACTAAATGATATTGGCGAAAATGACTCTAATAATAATGAAGAAAGTAATAGCAGTAATTTTTATTTAAAAAACAACTACTTGGATTTATCAAATGACTATATTCAAATTAAAGAACAATTGGAATTGATATTTAAATGGATAGTTGACTTTATTGGTTTCAAGCTATTTGATAATGTATCTTCTCAATTATCAGGTAGAGATCCAACTACTTTAGAAAGAGTTAAACTAATTAATCAAAATAACGTTGTCAAATTGAAGAGCTGTTTATTCAAGTGCTACAACTATATTAAAATTGCCTCAATTGTCAATATCACATTACCAAATATCTCATTTAAAGGGTTTTTGCCACTTCCACACTATTTAATTCAATCAAATATTTATAAACCAGTTAAAAAACTCTCAACATCAACACCAATTTCCCCATTAAATAATAGCGGATCAAGTCTAGTGACAAGTGGAAGTAGTGTTCTTAGCAGTGATGGGCTTGAAAGACAAAGAAATTTATTTTTATCATCATTAGAGCAAGATGATGAGTCCTTTAGTGAATTGGTTGCAGTTTTAAAGAATAAGTTATATAAAGATTCACCAATCTCTTTAGAAAATATTGAAATTATAACACTAGAGGAGTTTAATAATAGAACAAAAAATAATTTAACAAAGCAATCTCAACAACAACAACAGCCACAATCACAACAACACCCCTTACTTTATATGAAACAGTATAATTATTCAAGTTCAAGTTTACGTCAAGATGACTCTTCAATTATTGATGATTATCAATTGGACTTGTTTACAAATGAGGAATTGTTATTATATTATGGATACACATCATTGGAGGAAGAAATGGGCTTCATTAGATTCGAAATTCAAGTATTTAAATCAATTGAACAATTAGAAAAACAATTTACCGACCAAGATGAATTAGATAGAGAAATTAGATTAATGAAGATTAAGAAATCAATTTTAGAAAGCTATTTAGGTGATTTAAATTCATCAACATCTTCAATAATAACAACTATTAACAATAGCTCTGCTGTTGATATTACTGTTAGTACAAGTAGTTTTAAATCAAATAAGAAGCTCGTAGATACCATTACATTAAAAAGAAAAGAGGGCTACTATTTAGATTTCCTTAGTCAAGAAAATATTTTAGGTTATAATCTATTAGAGTTAACAAGATTATCAAAGCTTAGAGAGGTCGAAAGTTACTTTTATGAAGAGGGTCAATTATCAAAGCAAATTAATCTTAGAAACGAAATGGAAACCTTAGTTTATCTAAGTAAACAGTTAAAATTAGTTTTAATAAGAATTACATCAAAACTAAATTTAATTTCAACTTTATTAACAAACAACAGTAGAGATCAATTAACAAATAGTGGGTCTATTGGCAGTTATAATAATAACAACATTTTCTTGTACGAGTTGGAAAAGTATTATAAATCACATTTATCAATTATTGAACAATCAGTTATTCTTCTTTCAAATTTAAAGAATCAATTCACTAAACCAACTATTAAATCAGTACCATTTATAAAACCAACTGACGAGATTTATAGAAGATTCGAAAATTGGCTTAAACAAGGTGGTGTTCAATTCCCAAAATTACAAATTGCAAATTTCACAGATTCAACTGGAAGAGGTGTTGTCACAACAAAGAAGGTCGATGAAGACGAGGTTGTTGTTAGTGTCCCAAGAAAGTATTTGATAAATGTTGATGTTGCTAAAAGTAATCCAATTTTAGGTCCAATCTTCGAGGAGCTTCATTTAAATGATGAAACTATTCTTTTCTTATTTGTAATTTATGAAAAAGAAAACCCAAATACTTTTTGGAGACCATTCTATGATACACTACCATCATACTTTACAACATCTATCCATTACTCGTAAGTTTATTATTATTTTACCATATGGTAAACTACCCTTCAAATACTAATATTATCTTTTTTTTTTATCAATTTTTAGATCTACTGAATTATTAGAGTTAGAGGGTACCAATTTATTTGCAGAGACTCTTGCAGTTAAACAACAGCTACAAGCATTTAGAGATTATTTATTCCCAGAGCTATCAAATCAATATCCAGATATTTTCCCAGAAAGTGTCTTCTCTTGGGAAAACTTTTTATGGGCAAGATCATTATTGGACAGTAGAGCAATTCAACTAAAGATTGATGGAAAGATTAAAAGCTGTTTAGTACCAATGGCAGATATGATTAACCACCATACCAATGCACAAATCTCTGAAAGACATTTCGATCAAGACTCTAATTGCTTTAGAATGGTTTCAAGTTGTAATATACCTGCAAACAATCAAATATTTTTACATTATGGAGCACTTCAAAATTCAGATTTAGCATTGTATTATGGCTTTGTTATACCAAATAATATTTATGATAGTTTCCACGTAGGCTATGAATTAGAAGCCGATGAGGCAGAGGAAGGTGAAGAATCAGTACAAGAATTAAAAAAACAAAAAGATAAATTATTAATTGATCATAATTTATCGCCAGATTCAAATTATTTAAGAAAAGATAGAATACCAACTAAAAATTTTGCATGCCTTAGAGTTATCCTTTTAACCAAAGAAGAATTTAACCCATATATTGATATCTGGAACCCAATCAATTTAAAAAATGAAACAGCAGTATTACAAACTCTTTATCAATTGGTTTTAATGTTATTGAAATCGTTCTCATCAACTTATCAAGAAGATCAACAATTGCTAGAAGTCATGATAAATAAAGATAATGATAGTAAAAATAATATTGATAATGAATCAGTCGATAGCAATAGTAACAATAATAATAACAACAATAATAGTGATAATGATAATGGTATTAATATAGGTAATATTAAAAAGAATTTAAGTTCAAATGAATTATCAAATAATAATAACGGCAACAATAGTGATAATAATAATAACAATAGTAATCATAATAGCAGAGATGAAGATGATGAAGAATATAGCGAAGACGATTCAGAATCTACCAATTCAGAAAATGATCTTCAATCATCAGAACAAATGAGAATGGTATTACAATATAGAATCGAACAAAAACAAATTCTAACCTCGACAATTGAAAAAATTGTTTTATTAATGGAAGAAATGGGTCTTGAGTTACCACAATCACCAGAAGCAAGCGATCAAGAATATGACGATGATCAAGATGAAGATTTCACTTTATCATCAGATAATGATGAATATTTTAGCGATACAAATGAAAATGATGATTAAACATTTTCCAAATTTAAAAATAAACATTATTAATAACCAAAGATATTTACTTTTTTTTTTTTTATTTTTTTTTTTTTATAGCTGTGGTACCCCATTTTATTATTTATTTTTTTTTATTTTTTTTTTTTTTAATTTTTTTTATTTTTTTTTTTATTTTTTTTCATTTTTTTTTTTTTTAAAAATTAATAAATTTTTTTTTTTCGGTCATTTTATTTATTTTTTTATTTATTTAACTTCAAAGATATAAATAGAATCTATATCTTTATATAAAAGAAGGGATGATCAATAACCAATCACCGTACCAACCTAGACAGCTGTTTAATAGAAGATTACACAGTAACTCAGTAAATGAAAATGATAAAGATGAATTAAATAGTAGCAATAATAATAACATTACCAATACCAATAATAACTCCAATACCAATTCCGATAATAAAAATAGCAACATTAATAAAAATAGTAGTGGCAATGTTTTAACCTTAAATGATATTTCAAGCAACAATATTAAAAAAGAAAACTTAAATAATAGTAATAGAAATATAAATAGTGTTAATAACCATAGTAATAGCTTAAACTTCAATCTTATAAATAATAATAACTATAACAATAGCAATACTTTCAAAGATTTCCAAGATGATGATTTATTTAAGAGAAAACCAAACCCAAACCAATCACAACCATCAACCATTACAAAAAAAAGTTCAAAGAATGTATTAAAAAGTGAAAGTTTCCCAATGATACCAAGTAATTGGGAAAATTCAAAATATCCAAGTTATTTAAAGTTTAGATCATATTATGTAACTTTGAAATCAAAAAAATATATTTTAATGAACTTATCATTTTTAGTGGGTTCATTTTTATCCTATTATTCTATTTATTATTACGATTTTCATAAAGGTAAGAAATAAATTAAAAGAATTTTATATTTAAATAAAAAATCACCAAATTAACTTTTTATTATTATTTTTATTTTAATATCAAAAAGGAAATCAATTTGTTTTTTATTTATCAATTATAATTACAACATTATTTTTTAGTTTTTCAGTACATAACATTTATCTTCACTTTGAAAAGGTACCAGAACTTCAAATGACTGAAGAAGAAAGAGTTCTTTATGGATGGCCAGCAAACTTCCCATCATCACCAAATTCACATTTATCACCAATTAAACCAAAACAACAACAACCAATTAATAATACTTCAACACCATTAAAATCAAATTTGGATCAATTGAATTCCATTTCCCCAATCCAAAAAAATTTACAACCATTAGATGGTTTTATTTCATCATATAGCTCATATGATCAATTTATGAAAGCTAGAGAATTAGCATCATCCACATACACTCCAGGCGCATCACAGTTTGGTCGTGTATCAACGAACAATAATAATAATAAATCATTCGACGATATGGAAAGAGAAAGAATGAACTACAATTTCCAAGGTAGATTACAAACCTCTCTTACAGATTTTAGCTTTGAAAGAAAAGGAAAAGATTTATTAGATGCAGTAAATAGTAGTAATGTCTCTTTTAATGCCATCAGTGGTGCTGGTGATGATAATGACGAAAAAGAAGGTGATATTAGTAGTAACAGTGATGGAAAAGTAGATGGTGGTAGAGTAGAACTAATAAATGAAGAAAGACCAACCTATTACCAAAGCTATTCTGGAACACCATACTTTGTTCAAAAACCAGTTGTTCAAGAGATCATTGTAAAACCTAAGACTTTCGAACAGGTTATTGAAAATAAAAATAGCTTTTGGAAACGTTACATCGAAGATAACCACTTTTATAATATTGTTAGTTGCTCATCTAAATGCAAACGTTGGTTTACAATTAACATCATCTCTCAATTAGTACAACCTGCTCAAACATTCCTCCAATTAAAAGAGGATCTCCAATTCCAACATATTCAAGAAGAGCAATCAAAACCATTCACCAAACTCCAATATGAACAAATGAGCACACCATTAGAGTTAATGAAGAGTGTCTTAAAGAATGTTCAATACAATTTAAATTCAATTAATGACGTTCACCACAAACGTGAACCTGCATATATTTGCCAAAGAATTATAGAGCTTTCAAGTGATAAATTTGTATTCCAAGAGTTTGGTAGAGGCGGTCAAAATTGGATGGATCAATACCCAACTGATGAACAACTCCTCTTTTGTTTATTCTGTGCATATATGGATAATAAATTGTATAGAGATATTACTGCCCCCAACCCAGATATACCATTTTCATCAAAATACATTAAATTTCAAGAGAGTAAATGTATGTATAATTATAATTTATTTAATTTGATTTTTAATGACTCTGTTTTATTAATAAAATTTAAACTATATAGATTTAAATCCAAATTCACCAATGTTTAGCATTGCATTCAAAAGACCACTTCATGTAGATATTTTACTTTCAGACTATAGTCAAACCATCGAGATCTCCCCTGTAATTATCTTTTTTTTTTTTTTTTTTTTTTTAAAAAAACCAATTTTTAACACTTTTTTTTTTTTTTTTTTTTTGTTCAGGGTTTTGATAATTTATTTTATGCAATTGTTTTATTCTTTTATAATATCATAAAAAATCAAAACGGTTATTTAGAAGGTTTTAATGTAGATTTACTTCAAGTGGCACCATTTTTACAACCATTATTAAATACAAATACATTTGTTTCAAACAGCGATGATGAAGATGAATTTTATTAGAACCAAAATTAAAATAAATAATAAAAAAATCATATCTAAATGTATTTTGTAAAAAAATTTTCCTTCCCATCAAAAAATTTTTTCAATTTTCAAGAAAAAAAATTTTTGTGAAAATTTTGTTTTTATTTTTTTAAATTTATTTTTTTACGATTTATTTTTTTCCCTATTTTTATTAACTCCAAAATGAATAGCAACAATTATCAATTTAGCAATAATGGATCACAAAACAATAATTTTCAATATCAAAATATGAATAACAATTACGGTGCGTATCAAGTGCAACAACCAATGCAACAACCAATACAACAACCAATACAACAACAAATCCAACAACAAATCCAACAACCAATACAACAACAAGTGCAACAACAAATCCAACAACAAATCCAACAACAAATCCAACAACAAAATCAACAACAAATCCAACAACAAATGCAACAACAAATGCAACACCCAATGCAACAGCAAATGCAACAACCAAATCAACAACAAATGCAACAACAAATGCAACAACAAATGCAACAGCAAATGCAACACCCAATGCAACAACAAATGCAACAACCAAATCAACAACAAATGCAACAACCAATCCAACAACCAATCCAACAGCCAAATCAACAACAAATGCAAATGCAAATGCAAATGCAACCAATACAATTTAACAACCAAAATACTCAAGAATCACCACCCATTAGTATTCATGATAAAAATGTTAGTTTTGGAATATTGGTTTCTCTTACAGTTTTTAACATAATATTCGAATCTTTAAACATTAGTTGTAGGTTTTTAATTTTCTATATTAATATAAATATTTAAAACTAATTTTTTTTTCATTAATAAAAGTTATCCAAAGAGATTATATTTCTTCTATTTTTCTCTATTTGCCTGTTGTTTTTAATTTCCTTTATGGTGTTGGTATAATATTGGGATTCATTGGTAAAATACCACAATCCTTTCCATCCAATACAATTCAAATTACTCTCTTATTAACCTTTGTAGCCCATATTATCTTTATTTTTTTCCAGCTCGGTTGGTTATTGTATTTTTTAAAATATCTTATCCCAGCATCAATTTTAAATATTCTCCTTATCATTGCAAGCTTTTGGCTTTTTAAAAATCTTTTCAAATCCTCAAACAATAATAATGGCTATTCTCTATTGGATAATAATAATCAATATGATCAAATTAATAATAATAATTATAATAACTATAACTATAACAATCAAACAGTAAATAACCAAAATCAAAGTTTTGCTGAAAAACAATATATGCATCACTTAGGCCAGTATGTAAATCAATTAGATGATAATAAACAACCTCCACAACTTCAAGAAACAATCGAAAGTTTAGAAGACTATTTGACCAAACTCAAAGCTTATCAAACAAAAATTAATGTAAATAGCAGTAGTAGTGAAAATAACTTAGAGGGGGAAAATCAAACATTGGCTCCAAACAATGAATCCGACACATCACTTACATTGTCAGAGATCAAAAAAGACTCTTTCGATGACATCCAAAGCTTACTTTAATTTGTAATAATAATAACATCCACAAAAAATAAACTCAATCAATATCAATGATATATAAACTTCGTGTATAATGATATAATAAATTTCTTTAAAACTATATTTTTTTATAAACTTTTTTTTTTTTATATTATTTATTTTTCTTAATACCATGTTTTTTTTTTTCTTTTTTTTAATGATAATCAATTATTATTTTAAAGTGTACTAGCTGGGAGATAATAATCCAAAATATAATTATATTTATAAAGTATTAAAACATGAATACCAAATATAATATTTTGTTATTTACCAACCGAAATAAAATTAAAACTAAAACTTTCTTTTTACTAAATTTTATTAATAACGTAATGTTAAATAACAATTTTTTTTCTTCAGAAAAATTATTGTTGACCTACTTTTAATTCCTCTGTCTTTAGGTTTCTCTTTGAAATTTGGGAATATTTTTTTTCATTTCGTGGGATTCGATAAAAATATTTTTTTTTTTGAGAATCTTTTTTTTTTTTTTTTTTTTTTTTTTATTTTTTTATAGCTGTAATATAATACAATCAAATAAAAAGAAATGATTAATAATAAAAAAAATATATCCTTTCAAAAAAAGGTTTTTATTATATTGGTTGTTTTTGCAATTATTTGTGGGTTTCGGATACTGCTTTATGTATTTGGGGGTATGTAATTTTTATTTTTTTAGTTATAAAAAATCTCATAAATTAATTTTTTTATCATATGTAGTTCCATGGTCATTATACGAATAATATCAAATGATTCAAATGATTCAACTGATTCAACTTATTCAACTGATTCAAACTTATTCAACTGAAATATTTTATTTATTTTGTGTTGATTTAGAAGTAAATTTTTGTATTTCTCATATTGTCCATGGTATTTCCCATTTATTTATGTTATTGGTATAATTTTGGCACAGTATAAATATTTATCAACATCCCTATATATCAAAATTAGATTTTTATCAGCTTTACCAATTATCAGCTTTTTAATTCATATCCTTTGTCTTGTTTTGGGTTTTTCTATTGAGATCACTAACATTAGTCATATTGGGGATGTTAATGTCTACTTATTAAAAAAATCACCAGCCAGAAAAGATTCATTAGAAGATCACATATCTTATGAATCTGGTTTTTTTCTATTTCTTATAACAATTGCTTTTTATTTTATTTTTGTCATAGTCAGCATATTTGGTTTAAAAAAATTCCTAACAAAAGAAGGTTACCCATTACTAGTTGAAAGTGAAGAAAATGGTGATTTAAAAGAAAATGAACAATCACTTTCTGAATATATTGATCAATTAGAAGGTTCTCTTGAATCATTAACAAAATATCAATTAGAAAATAAATGTACTGTAACCACTAATAACAAAAATCAAATCAATATTCAAAATTTACCAAGTAACCTAGATACTCAAAACAATAATACAAATTACATCAACACCATCAATAAGAATCACAGTATTATGAATAATAATTATAATATTAACAATAACAATATTAATAATAATAGTAATAATAATATTAATGTTAATACCAATAATTTAAAAGACAATAATCATATGAATAATTATAATATGAATATTATGAATAATTATAATAATAATAACAATAATAACAATAATTATAATAATAATAACAATAATTATAATAATAATAACAATAATTATAATAATTATAATATGAATAATAATTATAATATGAATAATTATAATATGAATAATAATAATAACAATAATATGAATAATATGAACCACAATTTAAATATTATAAACAATAACAATATGAATAATAATACTATGAACAATAATATTAGTAATAATAATATGAAAAATAATATGAACAATATTAATATGAACAATAATATGAACAATACTATGAACAATAATATTAATAATAATATGAACATGGATAATATCAAAAAAAACAATAATAATAATAATAATATAATAAATCAAGAACCACCATCTGAAATAGAACCAGAAATTTCTGATTAAAGACAGCTTGTCCTATAATCTGGCTTGATATTTTAAAAAAAGATTTTTAATAAAAATATTTTCCTTTTTAAAAAAAAAATAGTTTATTTGAAATAAAATTTTTATCATTTATTTTTATTTATTTAATTTAGAAATAATTTAATTGCGCAAGGTTACAACGAAAAATAAACAACCTTTTATATTAACAATATTCTATCAACGAAGAATTTTTCTAAAAATTTAAAAATATTATTTATTTAAAAAAAAAAAAAAAAAAAAATTAAATAAAAAATAAATAAATAAAAAATTTTTAATTTTTTGTTAAAAAACAGATTTTAAAAAACACACAATAATTTTCTTCTTTGTTGTAAATTTTTTTTTTTATATTTATAACTTTATAGTTTTTATAATAAAAAAACAATAATTAAAAAAATGCAAGCAAAACAATTTGATGAAGTTGTTGTCGAAGTAAAACATGTATCAAAACGTAAGGCTTAATAAATAAAAATATTTATTAATAAAATATATTAAATAATAATTAATAGTAACATTTAAAAACATTGCTATTTATTTAATGAAAGAAAACAAACAAAAAAAAATACTAATGTTTTATTTTATTTATCATAGATTATAAAATTGCAGGTAGAGAAGATAAAGTTAAAGCATTAAATGATATACATTTAGCAGGAGATTCAGAACTATTACCAATTAGAAGAGGGGAATTTGTAATGTTAAGAGGACCATCAGGTGGTGGCAAAACCTCATTATTAAATCTACTTGGTACAATCGATAGAGCAACAGAAGGAACAATAGAGTTATTTTCAAACCCAATTAATGTAGATTCTACTGACGAATATTTAGCAAAATTAAGATTAGAAAAGATTGGATTTGTTTTTCAAACCTTCAATTTATTAGCAACAATGTCAGCTTATGAAAATGTTGAACTACCAATGATTATTTTGGGTAAATTAAATGAAAAAGAAAGAAAGAAAAGAGCAATCGAATTATTAACATGTAATTATCATTAAAAATTATAATTTATGCTACTGGGTATTAATATAACTTTTTATATTATTTTTATAGTGGTAGGATTACAAGACCGTTTAGATCATTTACCATCAGAATTATCAGGTGGTGAACAACAAAGAGTAACCATTGCAAGAGCACTTTCAAATGCCCCAGAAATTTTATTATTGGATGAACCAACTGGTGATTTGGATACAAAAAACACTGTAGAAGTAATGGATTTATTATTAGATTTAAATTTAAAACTAAAGACAACTTGCATTATGGTAACCCACAATCCGGATATCGAATGTTATGCTGACAGAATTTTGTATATTGCCGATGGTGTTTTTGAAAAACAAGTTTTTAATATCGAACAAACCAGATTGGATTATGATGAATATATTGCATATTTAAATTCTCAAGCTGGTCATTAAATAAATAAATAAACATATAAATAAATAAATATATTTATAAATAAAATAGATAAACTTTTTTTTTTTTAATTATTTTTTAAAAAAAAAAATTCCCTGGTTAATTTAAAAAAAGATAAATAAAAAAATGAAATAAAAACCATAAAGTTTTTTTAATAATATATACAAAAAAAATAAAATTTTTATTTAGTTTTTTTTTAGTTTTTTTTTTTTTATAGAAAAAAAAAAAAAGATATTTACAGCTTTCTATAAAAAAGAAAAGAGAAAGAATTTTTATAAAAAAAAAATAGCTTAAAAATATTAATATAATTTGTTCACAAATGTTTTGGGTTTGTGAAAAATTAAAAATAAACTCTTTTTAATCGAAGAGGTGCTATTGTCTAAAGAAATAGATTAAAAACCAATACAATTGAAAACTATTTCGAATGTGTTGGTGAATGATTATTTCTAATATAATTATTTGATATTTGTTGCTATTATAATATATAGTTGATGATGTGTATTTGTGGGGTTGTGAATTTTTTATAAATATATGGGTATAAATAAATTGACATGGTGTTTAATTAATGATACATTTGGACTTGTTATATGGAGATTCAAAGGTAATTTTTGGTCTTCTATTACTTGAATTTCTTAAAGGAGGTTGGGGTGATGAACGATTTGGGTTTAAATCATTACCATTGGCAGTGGTTTGATGGGGATATTCACCGGCCAATTGACTATGGTGATGAAGATAGCTTTCGTCGCAATCGTCAGAGATATAGTCGTTGTCACTAAGGTCACAAGTTCCTCTGATATTGTTGAGGTCATCATTGTCAGAACTAATATAGTTTTCACGAATGATGGAGGCATCGGAAATATTGGTACCAATGGAACTTCTTTTTATATGTACAGGATCTTGTTCAATTGGATGAACACCACCAACAAAATTATGATGATAGATGGTTTGACCAGTTTGGATAGTTGGTGGGATTGATGGAATACTTGTGGATGTAGTAATATAGTGATGATTGTGATGTGAGCTTTCATTAACAGAGGTTGAGGATGGAATAAATTCTGGGTCTTGTAAATCGATAGTACTTGCATCATTTTCATAACCAAAAATCAATTCATCGTCATTACTTTCATCACCATATGCCATTTCTAATGGTAAAAATTTAGTTTCTTCCAATAATTGAATTGATGGTTCGGTTTCTGGTATATATTTTAAAACCCATCTATTAATTTTAAATAAAATATATGATATGTTAGTATATTATACTATCATGCATTATAAAAAGAGAATATTAAAATTAAATAACTTACGGATGATTTTTAATTTGACCTAATGAAAATCTTTGTATATGATCTACTTGTAAGATACCTTTTATTAAATTAACCAAATCCTTGTCTAAATCGTTTGGGAATTCAATTTTACATTTTGAAATATTTTCAAAGAGAACATACATATTGACACCAGAGAATGGGAATTTACCAATAGTCATTAAATACAATGTTACACCCATTGCCCAAATATCGATTTTAAATGGTGAAAATGAAGTTTGAAATTGTGTTAACTCTGGTGGTTGAAAAGCTGGTGAACCATATGATCTTGATAAACATTCAAAATCTTCCAATTGTGAGGAATCCTCTGATACGCCAAAATCACTTAGTTTTAATATATTTGAATGTGTAAATAGTATATTGTCTGGTTTGATATCTCTATGTAAAATCTTTTGTGTGTGAATATATTCGATTGCTTCAATTAATTGCTTAAAAATACTAAAATGAAAAATAATTTTATTAATAATTAGTATTTTATTATATTTTGTGTGAAAAATATTCTATAGATACTCACAATTGTGATTGGTGTTGTGGTAATTTACCATTGGGTGCATTTTCTAATAAATTCTGTAATGTACCACCACCAACATATTCATATACTATATATAATTTTCCTTTTTCTTCAATAATAAAATGATCGATTAATTTTATAACATGCTTGTTATGTAATTTCTTTGTGATATTAATTTCTTTTAAAACTGATGCTTCACCTCCTGGAATCTTTTTTAATCTTGCTCTTTTTAAAATTTTGACGGCAACTCTTTTTTGTGTAAATGAGTCCATGCCATCTTTAACTTTACCATATGCACCTATAGAAAAGAAAATATTAATATTGGATCCAATATAATGTATGAAACAATAAATTAAACTATGACCTACCTTCACCCAAAACCTCACCTAATATATAATGCTTGACTAATTTAGGTTGGGATTTTCTAGATCTATATGAGATTCCATTATCTTCGTTTTCATTTAAATGAATTATAAAATTTGAGCTGTAGTTTTGCTCAACCTCCATTCTATACTATACTATTACTATTATTTCTATCTAGCTTTTATTATTTTTATATTATCTAGTTTTTATTAATTATTTTGTTGTTTAAAATTATAAATTATCTATTTTTTTTTTTTTTTCTCCAACCAAATTTTTAAAATTTTTAATTTTTTCTTCCTCTGTTTTTTTTTCTTTTTTGATATATAAAAAGTTTGATTTTCAGTTGTGTAGGTTTGTTGGTTTATTATTGTAGGTGTTATATGTGTGTCTGTTGTGAGTGAAATTGAAACCAAAATTTAAAAAAAATAAAATTTTAAAAAAAAAATAAAAAAAAAATTAAAATTGAAATAAGAAAAAAAAAAAAAATAATAAAAAATAAATTTCAATTAATATTTTTTTTTTTATAAATATTTTTTTTTTTTTTTTTTTTTATTACCTCTCTATATTAAATCTTTTCTGTTGTACTTTGTTGCTGTTTGTTTATCTATTTTTTTTTTTTCAAAATTGTCTTTTCTTTTTATGATAACAGTTTGATCTTGTGTTGGGGGTATGATAAAAATGGTAGTGTTTTTTTTTTTTTGAGTGAAAAGTGGTGTGGTTTTCTTTTTGTAATTGGTGATTTTTGGTGTGTTAGTTATTGCAAAAAAAAAAAGATTTGTGATTTGATGAAAAAATTATAAATATAAATAATTAAATATATAAATTTAAATAGATAGATAAAAAATTAAATTAAATTAAATAAATAAATAAATATATAAATAAATAAATATTATTATTATTATTATTATTATTATTTAAATAAAAAATAATTTAAAAATAAAAAAATTAAAAAAATAAAAAAATAGTAAATAAAAATGTATTAATAAATAATGATAATAAAAATAATATTAATAAGTTGTTGTTTTTTTGTGTTATATTTATTTTTATTTATTTATATATTTACTATATATGAAAAGTAAAAATAAATGGTGTGGGTGTTTTAATTATATAGGGGGGTGAATGGGTGATGTATATGGTATAATGTTGTTATTGTGTGTGTGTGTGAGAGTGATAAAAATTACTGTAGGATTGGGTGAGTAATTAGTGGAGTGGGAGATGAGGTGAGGATGTGTTAATATTTTTTTTTTGTTTTTTAAAAAACAAATTTCAAACAATTAAAAAAAAAAAAATAATAAAAAATAAAAAAAATAATATAAAATATTAAAATATTTTTTAAAAAAAATAAAATATAAAAAAAAAAAAAAAACTAAATTTGTTGAGAAAAAGGCCATAGAACCACCAGGTGTTAATAGGGTGTCTCGCCCGAAATTATGTTGTCCTTTAAAAATTATACGAAAAAAAATTTTAAAAAATAAAATTAAAAAAAAAAAAAAAAAAAATAAAAGAAATTTAGAAAAAAAATCCAAATTATCTTAAAGAATGGTAATGATATGTATTCTTTTTTTTTCTTGAATACAAAATGCATTCTTATTACTTGTCTTGTATTTGTTATTTTTTTTTTTTTATAATAAAATACAAAAATAAATTAATAGATCTATTAATTTTTTTATAGATCTTTAATTATTAATAATACATACATATTTTTTTTTATATTTATAAATATTTTTTACTATTTTTTATTTTGATGTTTTAAATGATGGAACTGGGTATTTATTTTTTTTTATTTTGCTGGCTGTTTATCAGCACCATTGAAAGCATTTTCTTCTTTTTCTTTTTCTTTTTCAGTAACTGGAGGGGCATTTGCAATTAAATCAGCTTTCTTTTCAGCCTCTCTATTGGCAGTTTTATTGATAATAAGGTTATGTAAGGCTATAATGGATCTAATCATTGAGGACAAGTAAATAACAGACATGGTATCATTGTTTTGTACAGCAAAAGATTTTGAAATTTCATTAGCATTTAAATTTGGTGAAAGATTAATAATATCTTGAATATAGCCAATAATTTGATGGTTTTGTGGTAAACGACTAAAAATAATAATGTGAAAAGTTATTATTAATACAATAATTAAAAAAAAAAAAAAAAATATTTTATAAAATAAATATTTACCCTTCGCAAACTAATTTTAAATAATTTGACATCTCTTGAAGATTTGTTAAAAGATGTTTTAATGAAATCTTCTTATCAGTTATTTGAGTGGTTAATGATGAAATTGATGAATCTTTAACATCTCTTAAAAGATGCTCAATACAAATTTCTTCAGCTTCTACAGCATCGATTGATGATGGGATATGTTGGAATCTCATTGTTGATTCGGATGTATCCTAAGTAAAAGTTAATTTGATAGTTTAATATAAAGTTAATATTTAAATATTATTATTATTGTAAAAAAAAAAAATGTTTAGTTTTGCAAATTTTTTATTACTTACTTTATTAATTTCTTCAATAGTAACATAGGATTTGGTTGGAATACCTAATTCTTTTGGTTGAACTTCAATAATAACCATGACTGGGTTTGGTGTGTATCTTCTAAATAATTCATTAATTTCTTGATCTGCTGGTCTAATTTTTGGACCAGTACTGTACCAACCAACAACATTTTCACGTGCATTGATTTTTTTAAACATTGCAAACATGTTTTCGTGGAAGTTGTGATCTAAAAACCAAATATTTGGATTGGTATCATCTTCTTCAAATGGAAGACCATAACAATTTGAGATATCTACAACACCTTTATTATTTGAACCTAATAATGCACCAACAACTCTTTTATTTGTATCTTTTGCAACTCTATTATAATGATCGACAACTGATAACAATACAGTTGGATGAACTACGGTTGATGTTGGAAAATTTGACATTTTGTGTATATGTGAGATGGTGATATGTTTAAATATGATTTTTTTAAAAAAAATAAACTATAATTATTATTATTCTAAAAAAAAATAAAAAATATATTTACAAACAAATTATTGAATAAATAATAATAATTTTACAAACAATTAATATAAAAAATTTTAATATGAAAGGAAATTATTGGTGAAAAAATATAAAAAAAAAAAAAATTAAAAAAAAAAAGTTTATGTTCATCAAAAAAATTTAATTTAAAAAAAAATTAAAAAAAAAATTAAAAAAAAAAAAAAATAAAGAAAAAATTAAAAAAAAAAAAAAAAAAAAAAAAATTAAGGCAAAAATTGTAATTAATTAATTTCAATTTTAAACTTATTATTTCCTATTTCATAGTTATTATATTAGTTTTATATTTAAATATATAATTTACATAAATAACAATTTTAAAAGAAATAAAAACAACTACTTTAAATATTTTTTTTTTTTTTTTTTTTTTTTTTTTTTAAATTTTTTTTAAATTTTTAAAATTTTTTATTTTTATTTTATTTTTTTAATTTAAATAGTTTAATTTCATATAATTAGGTGTTTAAATATTAAAGTTTAGTTATTTAATGTAATATAATAATATTGTATAAAATAATATTTATAGATATAAACAATAGTAATAAATAAATAGTTTAATAATAAATGTCATTAGTTGGGCAATATAGCGATAGTGATAGTGATAGCGAAGAAGATAAAGTTGATATTAAAACCAGTGATTCAAAGCAGGGCGAAGATAATGATATAGAGGATAATAAAATACCAATTTCAAAAGTTAATGAAAAGCCTTATGGATTAATTATTACAGAAGAAACCACTAAAATAATAAACAAGGATACAGAGGAATTTAATTTAGAAAACGATGACCAAGACAGAGAGAACGAAGATAGCCCTCCGAGAAAAGAAATAGATGGTGATGAAATTATATATCAAGTTGCAGACAGTGAAAATGATAGGTTAAATCAATGCCATACCATTCTTCACACCAAATTAGAAAATAGAGATATAGATATACCAAAAGAAATGCACGAGCCCAAAACACCAGTTTTAAAATCACCAGCATACGTTTCAACTCCACCTCATTCAAAGGATCCAAATTTTAAAAACTTATACCCACATAATATAACATCACCAATAACAGAGGATATCCAAGATGAAGAGGAGAAGGAGGAACCAAATGATTGTTTTAATTTTAAAAGAAATTTAGTACCAGATTCAATTAGAAAGAAAAGAGAAAAAATAGATATATCATTTTTACCACCACCAGTAAATGGTAGAGCAGATCCAATATTGGAGGATAAGATTATAAAATATCACAAAATGAGAGAAGATGGCATAAGTATTAATCAATCGCTAAGAGAATCACAATCATTTAGAAATCCTTCAATTTTAGAAAAGTTAATTGCATTTTGTGAAATCAGTGAAATGGGCTCAAATTATAAATTATCAGAATATGATCCAAATGGTTTTAAACCAGATGAATTTTATGAAGTTTTAAATGAAAATCAAAGAAAAATGGACGACAAAAGAGAATATGAAAGACTAAATAGAACAAAAATTGATTTTGTTTCAAGTACAAATGAACTATCTACTCAAGAAAAAGATCAAGAAAAAGATAAACAACCACAAAAACCAAAGAGTAATGATACTTTTAAATTTAGATTAAAATTTTATTTAAATTATTAATTTTTTTTTTTTTTATAAAATATTTAGAAAAATTTAATAAATGGGAAAAGGAAAAGCATAAACAAAAACAACAGCAATTACAGCAACAACAACAAAAAGCCAAAGCAACTGTTATCTCTGCCGCTCCTTCAATAATGTTTGTATAGAAAATATTTTTAATATAAAATGAAATCTTTAAGACTAACTTTAAATTAACTTTATATATCTAGTAAAAAAAGGGAAAACCCAGGCACTCAATCCACAACAACCACATCAACAACAAAAAGCGAATCCCTATTAAAAAGATTTAAAACGAGTGGATTTTAATAAACATATAAACAGTAACACTAAAAAGTAATAATATTAATAAAGTTATTTAAAATTTATTTTTTTTATACAGAATTTATTTATTTTTAAGACAAATAGTTTATTATTTTATTTATCTACCAATCATATTAGCGGTTCAATTTAAAAGTGCTTTTAAAATAAGATTTTTAATTATTTTGGAATTGGAGGTTGCCAACAGTAGGTACCTTTTGTTACATTTGATATGGCAGTAACAGCACTTTCAATATTCGGCAACAGAACCTACACTGGCACAGACACCAACAGCGGCACCGGTGGCAGCATAAATACCAGCTTTTCGATTCTTTGATTTTCCTTTCTCTGAGTTTCCTTTCTCAGCTTTTTCTTTCCCAACTTTTTCTTTATCAACCTTTTCTTTATCCCCTTTTTGTTTTTCAGCTTTCTCTTTTCCGCTTTTTCTTTATCAGCTTTTTCTTTATCCATTTTTTGTTTTTCAGCTTTTTCTTTATCAGCTTTTTCTTTATCCGTCTTTTGTTTTTCAGCTTTTTGTTCTTTGGCAATTTGGAGTATTTGGAGTATAGATATATCTTTTCCCACTTCTTTTTTAATTCTAGTCCATAAGTCAGGTTTTTCAGTTTGTTTTTCAGTTTGTTTTTCAGTTGGTATTTCAGTTGGTATTTCACTTTGTTTTACAAGCTCTTCTAATCTATCATTGATTTGCTCGAAATAATCTGAACTGTGAGGTTTGAATTTGATTTCTTGTTCATTCTCTATCTTTTCTTCACTATCATCATTTTCACATTTGTTATTTTTTAATGGTTTTGAACCATAGTTACTGTAATCACCATCAAGAACATAACCACCTTCATAAGGAATACCTTCTGGGAAAATTTTTGATTGATTTGGTTGGTCTTTTTCATTTTTTTGATTCATTTGAAGTAATTTGTCCGGTTGGTCAGGTTGTTCTCCATCTGTAACTGGTCGATAATTGAGTGTGCCTCTTATACTACTACCATCCACAACCATACTATTGGGAATTTGGGGGTCATAAATATCCATAGCAAGAACAGTTTTCAAAATATCAAAGGGGTAACCACTATCATCAGCAACTAAATCTTGATTAGGATTTAAATCATTAAAGGTATTGATTTTTGTGGCAAATTTATTTAGTAAAGCATGTTCTACACCAATAGCATCAAAGTTTTCTTTATCTTCATTTTGAAATGGGAAACGCATATAGCAGACGATAGAATTCAAATAAATTTCAAATTTATCATCTTTCTTTTCACAGTTCAACCTGGAGTTAACGTCAACCTCTGAGCTTCCTATATATAACACCCCTTGACGAACCAATGGGTTATTTCTACCTTTGAGATCTCTATATCTAATAGCTCCAGGTGTGAAATAGATATAAAGTCCAGGATAAGAGCATTTTCTTGGTACTTTTCCTTCTTTGTTAGTAAATTGATTACAAACCCATCCATATCCAGTTTGGGGGTGAGGTTCTCTTGGAGGAGGATAAAAAGAAGCAATCATTTTTCTTGGTCCATTAGATTGAGTATTTTTTCCACGAATTAACCTTGGGGGTGATTCAGGTTGGCAATGAATCAAATTAAAAAGAAGAAAAAATAATATTATAATCTTCAACATGTATATCTGAATTAAAGATAAAATAATGTTAATTTTTTTTAATTTTTTAATTTTTTAATTTTTTAATTTTTTAAGTTATTTAACATAAAATTTAAGTTAATTTTTTTAATTTTTTTTTTTAATTTTTTTTTTATGTTTATTTTTAAATTAAATTATTTTTAATTATTATTTAATATTTTATATTTTTTAATATTTACTATATTTTAAAATGTCAGAAAAAAAAAAAAGTTGTGTTCATGATAAAATTAAACTAAATTACAATCAATCTCTTTCTTCTAATGATCATTTTTTTCAACACGAAGGTTTCCCAAGAATAGATCCGTTCGCTTGTACAAACGATTGTAGAGAAAAAATGAAAAGCCATTTTCAATTTAAAACCCAGCAAATTTTGGAATGGACTACACGATATTTTGAAGACGCCAGAACCATTGAAGACCAGCAAGGACAGAAAGATGATCATTCCTATAAACCAAATTTGAATGATTATTGGGGTTTTTTTCATGGAAGACCACTTGGTGAGCTAGAAAGAAAAATTATTAAAAACATGAAAGTTGGTTTATTGAATGGGGAGCCTATAAGATTATGCGATCTCCCAGAGGGTACCAAATGTGATTTTGATGCAACAAATTTAGAAGAATATGATAAAGTATATGGTTCCGATGATGATGAATAAACTTTTTATTTTCTATATGTTAAAAATTTTAATTCTCACGATAATGTAATATTTATCTATATTATTAAAATTATCTACATTGTTATTATTTTTTTATTTTCTTTTATTTTTTTTTAATTTTTTTTTTTTATTTTTTATTTTTATTTTTTATTTTATTTTTTAATTTTTATTTTTTATATTTTTTTTTTGGGGCAAAATAACCATTTACCATATTTTTTAAACTATAAATAAAAGAAATAAAATAATTCATTAATTATATATATATATATATTATTTTATAATGAAATAAATATATAAAGAAAATTAACAAAAGAAATGAAATATATTATTGACGATATTATTGTATCAAAAAATGATATTGACGAAGATTTTGAGTGTAGCTTTTGTTGTTCTATTATGTTAAACCCAAGATCTTGTTTAAATAGTCACATTTACTGCTTAAACTGTTGGGAAAAACAAATGGAAATTAAAAAGCAATGTCCTTCGTGTGCAGTTCCTGTAACTATTGATACACTATGTAAGAATAAATTTTTAGAAAAACATATAAATATGTTAAAGGTAAATATTTAATAAAAAGATATTTCAATAATATTTAATATTAATACCTTTTTTATTTATTTTAGATATATTGCCCAAATTCATATTATAATAATAATAATAATAATAATAGTAATAACAATAACAATAATAATATTGAAAATCAACTGATTTTAGATAAAAGTAATGGATGTAAAGAAATTATAAATATAGAGTCATTAGAAAGTCATTTAAGAGAATGTCAATTTCAATTTATAGATTGTCCCAATAATAAAAAATGTGGAATGTATAGAAAGAATCAAATGGAACAACACCAAGGCCAGTGTGGGTATTTAAAAATATCATGTTATCATTGTATGCAAGATATCGAAAGACAGTTTATGGGTGAACATATATTAAATGAATGTAATGATATAACAGTACAATGCAGATATTCCGAGGGTGGTTGTCAAGCAATGATACCTCGTAACCAATTAGCAGCACATTTATCGGAATTTGACAACCATAGAGAGTTTATTGAAAATATTATTAAGGGGCATCAAAAGAAATTAAAAAGCACTTTTAAAGAGTTGGATGAAACCAATTCCAAATTGGATCAATTAAAGATAAGCAGTGAATCTTTAGAAACCAACCTCATTAACAACGACTATTCATATCGTGGCAAATGGATCATTAAGCAGTGGAACTATCACTACGAAATGTTTATAAAGAATCCCATAAAGAATTTAATTATCTCACCCCCAATTTACCTATCCCCAACAAAAGAATTTTCCTTGTCGCTTACCCCCACTTCAACCATCAACAATATAAACTGTTTATCAATTCATTTAGAAAAGCTATTTCAAACTAGCTCCATTGTCCAATTTTCATTTGAAATTATAAATTATAACAATACAAAATCAATAAAAAAAGGTAATATACTTTATTTATTGTTTTAATTTTAAAAATCATATTAATTTTTTTTTTTTTTTAAAAAAAATCAATAGAGGAAAAGAAAAGATTCAAACATTATGGAGCAGCGCATGCCATAGAGTTTCCGGTATCAGAAATCTATAATATAAATAATAAATATATACAAGATGATGAACTGGAGATAATATTTACAATTAAAATTTTATCAGTCGAAGAAACTGAACAGTCAATTGATAATGTATTAATAACTGAAAAAGAAAATTAAAATAAATTTATTATAAAAAGTGTATATTTAAAAAAAACTTTTCTTATTTCTTTATTTTTTTATTTTTTTTTCATTTATTTAATTATTTAAACATGGACCCCTCATTGATATTTCTTCTTGTGAAGGTATTCTTTGTTCCATGTTAGATTTAGATATTTTAATTGAAAAAATATGATTTTATATTATTAAAGTAATAAAAAATGGGATTATAATTATCTTTTTTTTACGGTAATAGGATCTGTGCCTGTGCATGCGCATGTGCATGTGCAATGTTTTTAATTGTAAATAGCCCTACCAAATTATTTATAATAACAATAAAAAATATAAAAAAAAAAAAAAATAAAATAAAATAAAATAAAAATTAATTACTTATTTGAAACAAAACACCACTTTCTTCCAAATACCACAACACTTATTTTTATTATTATTATTATTATTTTTTTTACAATTTATTTATTTTTAAATATATTATAAATTAAAAATAAATTATTTAATTTTTTTTTTTTATTTTTTATTTTTTAGGAATATTATTTGAAAAAATAATTATAATTTTATTATATTTATTATTTTTATTATTAACATTATTATAATATAAAATAAAAGTAATCAACAATACAAATTCTCTATTCCTTGAAAATATATTTTACCCTTTTTTTTTTATTTTTTTTATTTTTTTTTATTTTTTTTTTTTATAATTTTATTATAATCTCGAAATTAAAATCATAAAAATTAATTTATTTCCCAATTACTCTAAAGTAATTTTTTATATAATCAAAATTTTATTAATAACATTTATTTATAGATAGCAGTAATAATAATAATAATTTAACTTTTTTATCTATTAATTCCTCTTTTAGATTTGTTTAATTAATATTATTATTTTTTTTTTTTCTTTTTTAAATTTTATTTTTTTTTATTTTTTTTAATTATTTTTTTTTATTTTTTTTATTTAAAAAATTTAATTTTTAAAATTTTCTTTAAAGTACCAACATTTATTCATTATAGTTGATATAATTAATTTTTCTTAAAATACCAATATTAAATAAATAACTTTCAAAAATATACAAATATAAATATATCTATATAAAAAAAAGTTATTTTGTAACACCACTTTTTATTAAAAAAACATAATATTTCTTTTTTTAATAAAAACCACACACAAAAAAACATATTATTTCAAAAGACACATATAACATATAAATTCAAAAATGATTAGATCATCACAAATTGCTCTTTCTTTATTAAATTCACATCATTCATCAAAAGTTTTCCAACCTGTTAGTCTTGTACTCCATGGTAATCAATATCTTAAAGATCTTTCATCAAATAATTTAAAAAATGATATTGCAAGTAAATATTAACACATTTGTATATAATCATTATTGTTGTTATGGTTTTAAAAGTTTACTAATAGTTTTGTTTTTTTTTATCAAGAAAAATCATTAGAATCAATGAATATTTCATTTAATGAAAACAACAATAATATTATTATTAATGCAAAGGATTGGATTGATGGATTACATAATAAGGGTATGGGTAGTCTTTCATTAAGCAGAAGTATTAAAAGAGGCAAATCATGTTGTAGCAAGAATAAGCTCTCATCATCAACAACCACACAATTACCAACAGATGCCACAGAGACAGAATTTGTAATTGTTTCATCACCATTAGTTGATGAATATGGCGATTTTAGTATTGATAGAAATAATCAACACTCTGTTCAAGCATGGCAATTTACAAAGAACGATTTTAATGAAACTTTACCAAGATTATCACCATCACAAATTAGAAATCAAAAAGAAATGGAAGAGTTTTTAATTTGGCGTAAGATTGCTTTAGGTGATATTAGAGAAAGAATAAGAGAAGCCGTCGAAAGAATGAGAGATTTTACAATTTTAAATTTCCACAGCATGGATTTATCAGAATCACAAAAATCAACATTTTTAAATAATCTTACCGAAGCAGAAAAATTCATTCATATGGATGTTATGGTTTCAACCAAAAAGGATATGGATAAACTTTATGACTATTTAAATTTACCAAGAGAATATGCTTCATCTGCCCAATCAAGAGTTGCTTTACAAGCAAGTATTAGTATATAAACTCTTTTCTCAAAAGATTATTTTTTATTAACATACTATTATTATTTTTTAGATTTTAAACGCCGCCATGAGTGCTTATATTTTTGACTCGCCAACTAAAATTTCAGATCCAAAATTAAATGAGGACTTTAAAAAATTAACAAAGGAGTTATACGAATCAGTTCTTGATTCTGTAATTTGTTCAACTAATTATATTGAATAAAAATATAAATTATATAGTTTTTTTAAAATATAAAACATTTGTATTTTTCTATTTATTTCAAGTGGGTTAAATTCGAACCAAAGATATATTGTTATAAATGTGCTTTTTATTTCTTTTTTTAAAGTTTAATACATTATTATTTATTTTATTTCGTTTATTAAATATCTATAGAAAAGTATCAATTGGAATATTTTAAAAAAAATTATAAAATCAATAAGTAAGACAAATAAATTAAAATCTTTATTTAATAAATATGTATTTTTTATAGATAGATTAATTGTATAAACTATAATTCTAGAGTATTTTATTAACTATATAAAATATAAAAATGAACCTATAATTGATAATAATTAAATTGAACTATTTATACTTTTAAATTGTTAAATATTGATCATTATGATTATTGACTAGTGTAAATAGATATTATTATTAATTAGATTATGATATTTTGAATTGTTATCATCTTGATTGATTATTGATTAATAATTTGAAAAAAGGTGATTGCCATTTACATATTGTGATGTAAAGGTGGTAATGTGGTTTATGAGATGAATAAGAGATAAGATGGGTAATAAGTGACCATAAATATAATTAATTTCGTTTACTGGAGAATAACTGGGATCAAAGAGAATTACAGAATACAATTTGAGCATAGATTGAATGATTACCAAAGTGAACGGTTGTATATGGGTTCAACAAAAAAGACTGAAGCTGGATGACTGTATACATTAACCTTTGGTGCATTAGCGTTCTCTATTTCTAAGGCAAATTTAGGGATCTTGTTAAACTCTGAATGATGTTTCATCTTGTATAACTTGAACTATTGGAGTTGGATTTTCCCACTGAACTTCTGGTCGGTAAGATTGATAGTTGATCTTAGTTTCACTATTTCATCAACACAAGTGAAAAATAGCACCATAATATTAGATTTATCAATATGGTTTTGTGAAGGTTTTTGAAAAGGAAAATAAAAATATTTTAATTAATAAAATTCAAATTTAAAAAAAAAAATAAAAAAAAGCGCTAATTGTAATTAAAAAAAGTTAAAAATTTTAAAGAAATTTAAAAAAAAATTTAATTAATAAAATTAAATAAATTTTATTTTTTTTTTTTTTTTTTTTTTTTTTTCATTCGGCTATCATACCAATTTGATTATCATATAATGAACTACCAAATTCTTACTTTATTCCTTTTCTGCAAAACATTATAAAATTAATTATAATAAAATAATATAAATGGAAAATGATTTCTTTAAAAGGAAGATGTGTTTAATTTATTTGAAAAATAAAAAATTTTGAAAAAAAAAAACCTCCCCTGTTTCAAATTACTACCAATTTTGATTGTAGCAGATCTACATTTTTTTTTGCAATACAAATTTTACTTATTTTGGAATTGATGTTTAAATAAATTAGGAAAAAGTTATAGATTAATAAATTAATTAATTTTAAATTAAAATTTTTTTTTTTTATAATTTTTATTAAAAAAACTTAAAAGTATTTAAAGAAAATAATTTCATAAAATTTATTTTTTTTCATTATACACATTCAGGTAAATTCAAATTAAAAAAAAAAAAAAAAAAAAAAAAAAAAAAAACACACACTACACTACACTTCACTTCACTTCACACTATTATCAATATGGTGGTTAATTATGTATTCTGCGTGGTGGGATACATAATTAACCATTCGGCTCTAATATACTGACCTCCCTGTGGTAGAGCTGGAAACACTCTTTACAAAGAGTGGCCAATAGTATAAAACTATCAAATAATATGAATCATACAAATATCGAGTATTATTTAGCATTTAAAAAATATCCAATAATATGGATCATACAAAAATATCAAGTATTATTTACCATTTAAAATATATCAAGTAATATTTAGCATTTAAAATATCATATATTTATTTAGCATTTAAACATATCAAGTTTTATTTATCATTAAAAATATCATATATTATGGATCATTTAAAATTTTCAATTATTGTTTGGCATTTAAACATATCTAGTTTTATTAGAGGTTGGAAATTATCTTTATTGTTATCCTTTTTTGTATCTGGAAGATTTAAAAAAAAAGGATAAAAGTGGATAAAAAAAAAAAAAAAAAGATAAAAAAAGGATAATAATATATAAAATATTTTTGTAAAAAAAAAAAAAATTGTAAATCATTTTTTCTTATAATAATAAAAACCTTTGTATATTTTCAATTTTTTTTTATAAAATATTTTTAAATAAATAAGCTAACGATAATGGGTAAAAACCGGGAATAAAGATAATTTTTAATATCAAAGTAATTGTTTATATTTGACCTCTATTTCAAAATTGTAGTTTATAAAATAACTAAAATAAAATCCTCCAAATTGATAAATAAAAAATAAAGATCACAAAGTACTAAAAGGGGTGGTACTGGGGGCAGTTATACTTTTCCCATGTTGTTAATCAGATTTATCAAACTTGAATCACAAAATAATCTTCGGAACGAATTATTTTTTAAATATTTCATAACATGTTCGGATGGTGTAGTTGGTTATCACGAATCCTTAACACGGATTAGGTCGTGGGTTCGATTCCCGCTCTGAATATATTTTTGTATTTTTTAGATTTTCTTCTCGGTGATTATTAAGATCCCAAAACTAACTCCGGGGGGAGCAATGATAGCCAATTGGTCGAACGAATTTCCTGAAACTGGAGCGGGTTTAGAAATTGATGAACATACAAAATCCCAGAAGGTCGCAAATCCGATGGAGAAATAAATATGGATTACAACAACACCAGATTCCACAAATCACACTTCCAATGGAACTATAAAGCAATAGATTTCGACTTAACTAGATGTTTCGCTTATAGAAATGCCATAGCCCTGGTATTTCGTCATGTTTGGATTTGGTTATGTAAAGAATTATATGACGATCAAGAAAATACAATAAAAGAACTCGATTATAAGAATCTAACCTCAAAATGGACTATACTAGCTACTTTAGAATACTTAAAAGGTTTAAAAAACATCAAGGAAAGACACGCTAAACAACCACAAACAATTAGCAACATCAATGAAGAATATAGAAAATTCAAAAGAAAAATAGCAAGAGCATACTTCATCAGCATCAAATCTTTACCAAATATCAACAGTTTAGAATATTTTCTTTAAATACTTTATAAAAAAAACATTAAATAAAATTTTACTGATTAATAAAAAGCATTTGCTTTTTATTATCTTCACTTTTAAAAAAAAAAAAAAAAAAAAAAAAAAAAATTGATGATAACAACGAAAAAATTACAATGTTCCTTGCTCACCTTTATATTAGCATTTCCTTTTTTTTAAGAAAGGTTATGTAAAGAATTATCCGATTATCAAGAGAATACAATTACAATCTAACCTCAAAATGGACTAAGCTAGCCTTTTCTAATGTTAGTTCAAGAATAATAAAAGGTTTAAACATCATTGCAATACTCAATAGTATTCTGAATTTCAAAATAAGGTAAAAGAAATTGAAGAAACCTCATTGAAAACACCAACTCCCAGAAAAGGAAAAAATTAAAAAGAAATACAAATTTAAATATATGTAAATAATAAAACCCTCTTTGAAAATAAATATTTTTATAAAATCTTTAAAGATTGCTCTTTATTTTATTATTACTATTAAATTTTTAAAATTAATAGATTTTTTATTTGTTTATAAATTGATTATTTTTATTTAATTTTAATTGTTTTTGTTATTAAATCTATTACTTTTATAAAATTTTGCTTAAATCGTTCGTAATTTGTTCAATAGATTTATTATTTGAAGATGAAGAAGAGGAGGATGGAACCTCGACAATATCTAAATAAACGTCAGTATCTTTTAAAAGTGGTTGTCTATTGTTATTATTGTTGTTGTTACTGTTATTACTATTACTATTGTTATTAAAATTGGTCATATTTATAGCATTTAGACTTGTTTGGCTATTACTATTATAATTACTGGTATATGACGATGAAGAGGATGGTATATCTGCATTTATAATGTTGTTTACATTTGAACTACTAAATATTGGTGATTCATTTTGTTGTTGGTATTGTTGTTGTTGTTGTTGCTTTTTATGTGAATATGATGCTATTGATTTATAATCGGTTGGTTTTCTATATTCAGACATTGAGCCCCTTTTATTAATACTATTATTTTCAACAAATACACTAGTTATACCATCTTTTTGTTTTTGATTGATGGATTCGATTTCTCTATATAATTTTTGGAAGTGTTCTTTCTTTGAATGTTCTGGAACAGTTTCGATTCTTTGAATTTTACCATCTCTCATCCATATAATTCTATCTGAATACATTTTTAATCCAACATCATGGGTTACCATTACTAAAGTAATATTTTCTTTTTTATTTAAATCGGTTAATAATTTCATAATAATAGCTGTGTTAACTGTATCTAAATCACCACTATAAAAAAAAAAATCATTAGTATTTATAACATTATTATGGGTTTTATATGTTAATAATTACGTTGGTTCATCTAATAATAATACATCAGGGTTGTTTGCAATTGCACGTGCAATAGTTACTCTTTGCTGTTCACCACCAGATAATTGCGAGGGGAAATGGTCCAAACGATCTTTCATACCAACTTTAGTTAATAATGAAATTGCTCTTTCCCTACGCTCACTTGCTGATAATTCTCCCAATAAAATCATTGGCATTTCTACATTTTCCAATGCTGTTAATGATGATAGTAAATTAAATGTTTGAAATACAAAACCAATATTTTTTAATCTTAAAAATGCTAAATCTTTATCTGATGTTTTATGGTTGATTACTAATAAAAAAAAATATTAATACCAAAAAAAACAAATATTCAATTAATAAATTAAAAGAATAATAACACTTACATTTACCACATAATTTCATTTCACCTTTAGTTGGTTTATCAATAGTACCAATAATATTTAACATTGTTGTTTTACCACCACCAGAAGTACCAAAAATACAAATAAATTCGCCCCTCTTGATTGTCATTGAAACACCTCTAAGTGCAGGTACACCCTCAATACCTAATAAATAGGTTTTATGAATGTTTTTCATTGTAACTACATTATCTGGATCATTAAAATTAAGTTCATCAGTCCTTTAATCTAGTTTGCCCAAAAAATTTGTCATCCTCTTGAATTTTTTCTTCAATTAATATATCAGTTGACATTTTATTATGTTATTATTTTGTATATTAAAATTTTTTTGTAAATATCGATGATTTTAATTATATACTTTATTATTACTATTATTATTTTTAAAACAAACTGTATTTAAAAAAAAATTTTAATTTAAAATTGAAAATTAATATTAATTTTTTTTAAAGATTATTATATTAATAAAGGTTTTTGTTTTTATATTTTTAATATTATATTTTTAATGTTATATTATTATTGTTATATTATTATTATATTATAGAATACAATAAAAAAAACTATTAACGAAAAATGTGCAAAGTAACACCAGTAATATTTTAAAAAAATTTAATTTAATTTTAATAAAAAAATTAAAAAAAAAAAAAAATTAAAAAAAAAAGTTTTTAAAAAAAAAAAAAAATAAAAAAAAAAGGAAAAAAGATTTATGTTTAAAAAAAAAGATATGAATAAAAATGAAATAAAATAAAATAAAATAATATTTGTATTTTTATTATTTAGAGAGAAACCGAAAGTTTTATTAATTTTTTTTAGGATTTTATAAAATGAAATTATTTATTTATGAAATATGGGAATTAATAGTAATAAAAATAATGGTAATAAAAATAATAGTAATAAAAATATTGTTTATTTGGTTGCAATGTTGAATATGTTAAATTATAATTGTGTGAGTGGGGGTTATAATGTGTGTGTGAATATATGTATGTGTGTGTTTTTTTGTGTGGGTATGAATTTAATATCTTGAAGGTGTTTATACCCACTTTTAATATGCAGAGAGATTTGTAAAATAAAATAATTAAAATCTATTTATATTGTTTTAAGACCCAATTCTTTTTATAATGAATAGTATTATATAAATAAAATAAATAAATATAAATGATAATAATAAAATTTTAGAAACAATTTACAAAAAAATAAAATAAAATAAAAAAAAAAAAAATAAAAAAAAAAAAGAAAATATTTTATAAAAATTTCTTTTTCTTTATTTTCTAATATTTTGGTTATAACCCTGAATAATTATTTTGGTGAATGCTAACCTTTTTTTTTTATTTTTTATTTTTCTAAGAGATGAAATTTTCTAAAAATATTTCTTTTAAAAAAAAAAAAAAAAAAATGGTAAAGTGTGCTTATAAAAAAGGAGGCTTCCATTCCAAATACAATGATTGATTATATTTAAATTTAAAATTAATTTGTTAATTTTTTATTAAAAAAAAAATATCTTTTATTTTTTTTTTTTTATTTTTTTTTCATTTATTTTTTTTTTTTTAAAAATTTTTAACTTTTTTTTTATTTTTTTATTTTTTTTTATCAAAAGAAATTAAATTGTTTATATATGTATTTTTAATAACTCTTTATAATTATAAACTAAACAATAATAATACCAATAATAATAATAGTAATAATACTATAATAACAATAATTAATAGAGTTGATAAATTAAAATTTTACTTTATGTAAAAATATATACACATATATTATAATATTCAGATATATTGTATACTATGGGTCAAACTTTAACCAAAGAAGAGATTAAAAATGAAATAGAAAAGCATTTAAAAATATGTTTTCTTTCTTTAGATCAAGAAGACCTATATTCAAAGAATTCAATATCATTTAATCTTTCTACTGCATCAGTAAGATATTTTAATAAATCATACAATGAAATTTTAAATTATAATCTTTATATTAATAAATAATTATTTATAATTAGTCACAAAAAGGATTGGTAGATGATTATTTTAGTTATATAGCGAATCAAAATAATAATAATAATAGTAATAGTAATGGTTATGGATCAAGTAGTTCGAATAATAGTCCAAATTTAATAGGCGCAAATACTAATAGTAAAAATCATTTGGATGATTTAATTCATACAATTTCAAATTCAATTTTATTAAATTTACAAAATAATATAGATACCACTACATCATCAACTTCATCATCAGCATTATCATCTACATCTACAACACCAATAACAAAGACCCCTCCCACTATATCACCATCACCATCATCAAACGATATCCAAAATGATACAACCAACAACAATAGTAATAATACAAATAATAGTTTAAACAATTCAAATATACCTATACAAAAATCATCATCATCAACATCATTATTAAATAATTTAATATCACCAAAAAAGAAAACTGTAAAATATAAAGAAGGTAGTTTTGAAGCGGCATGTTATGAAGGTGATGAAATTTTTGTACAATTATTTAAAAAACAAATACCAAATACCAATAATATTAAACTATATGAAAAAGTACTAAGACCAGTAAATATTAATCAACAATATAAACCCCAACCAAACGAATATTTGACAATATGGGAGTATTTTGAAGAAGTTAATTCACAACCACTATTTTATGACCAAAATCCTTCATTTACATTTAATAATAATTATTTAGTGCAAGAAAAACAAATTAACAATATTGAAAATGATAGGTTTTTAATAAATAAAGTAAGTTTACAAACAAACCTGCAATGAAAAATAAATAATAATCAAAAATACTAATCGATGTCATTTTTTTTTAAATAGGAATTTATAAAATCAGTATTACAATCATTCGAAACTTTTATATCACCTTTACCAAACTCTATTCATTTTAATGACATTAGTATTCCACCATCAATTGATTATTCATCACCAAATACATTAAAAATTCATCCAAATATTTTACCAATCATAGAAATTATAATAAATGATAATAAAATTAGTGATCAAGATAATAATAATAATGATGAAATTAATAATACATTTATAATTTATAAAAAATATAATTATACATTAGATTCATTATTAAGATATAGCAGTGAATATTTACAAAAAAATCCAAAAATAACAAATTTTATTATTTATCAATTAGTACAATTAATGGCATTCTTACATCAAAAAGAAGTTGTACATGGTGATTTAACACCATCTCATATTCATCTTAGTAATCAAATGTGGTTAGGGTTAGAAGGTTTTTCATTTCCATCAGCACCTTTATATCATTCACCATCAGAGAATCAATTAGAGTCGTCAATTAATAAATGGGTTCATGGAGAATTATCAAATTTCAATTATTTAATGATTTTAAATCATTTGGCACATAGACGTATGGGCGATCCAATGAATCATCCAGTTTTACCATGGGTAATGGATTTCAGTCGTTTAGGTGGGGGCTGGCGTGATTTAACAAAGACTAAATACCGTTTAAATAAAGGTGATGAGCAATTGGATTTTCAATTTTTAAATGCACCTGGAGGTGCTGAAAAGCCACATCATATTTCAGATATTTTATCAGAATTAACCTATTACAGTTATTTGGCCCGTAGAACACCAGTGCCATTATTACAACGTTTTGTTCGTGCAAACTATGAACCAAATGAGTATCCAGCAACTATGGAACGTCTTTACCGTTGGACTCCTGACGAATGTATACCAGAGTTTTTCACCAATCCAACTATTTTTTCATCAATTCATCCAGATATGCCAGATCTTCAAATTCCAGATTGGGCTCCATCAAAAGAAGACTTTATCCAAATTCATATGAATGCACTCGAAAGTGATCAAGTTTCTATTAATTTAAATTACTGGATTGATTTAACTTTTGGTTATTTATTAAGAGGTGAAGAGGCTATCAAAGCTAAAAATGTAGCTTTAATGGATACAAGCGTACCTAGAAATTCTGGTATAGTTCAATTATTTACAACCCCTCATCCAAAGAAAAAAGTTTTAAATAATAATTTCCAACAAAAACATTACCAATTTTTACAACAACAAATAGCTCAACAACAACAGGCACAGCAACAAATACAACAACAACAGCAAAATCACCAACTTAACCAAAGTTCAGAGGAGTTTATAATTAGATTCAATGAAAATGCATTTAAATATGATGGTATGCATTCTAGTGGTGGTACATCATTTTTACAAGGTTCATCACTAGCCACAATTTTATCATCAGGTAGGGGAGATAATGTATCTAGATCAGATTCAATCGGCTCAAACTCTTCAGCAACTGCACCAAACGTATTATTATCACCAAATATAAGCCAATCTCCAAATAATAATAGTAATGGGAACATAACAAACACATCTCCTTTAGTTTCTGGTATATCAATATCCACAACATCAAATACAACAACTAATACCACTACTACCTTTAATAACTCACCATCAAACTCTGTCTCAACTTTACCATCTCAACAACCACAGCAACAAGCACCACAATCACAATCACAACCACAGTCGCAACAAACACAACCACAACGTTCATCATCGTTATTAGGTGGTAAACCTAGAACCGGTTCGGGTAAACTTAATGAAAAACAAACATTAGCAAAGTTTTTACCATCACTATTTTATTCACAATCAATTAAAATTGAAAAAGAAGAACAGCAGCAACAGGTTCAACAACAGCAACAGGTTCAACAACAGATATTCAATAATAGTGGATCACAATCACCAACAAATCAACCAATAAATATTGATTTGTTATCAAATATAAATTCAAACTATATTGGCTATGGTAGTTTAGGTAACTCTTCACCAATTTCATTATTAAATATGCAACAAAAATTAGCTGAACAACAAGCTCAACAATCCTCACAAATACAGCAAAATCCACCACCACAACAACAACAACAAACATTTTCAGGAACAACACCAAATAAAGTTTTAATTCATTCAAAATCAGAAGAATCAATGACAAAGAAATATCTTGGAAATAATGGTAGTAATAATGGGTTAAATGCTTCATTGTCTAGTATTTCTATAAATAATAACAATAGTAAAACAATGCCTTCATCGCCACAGTTCGGCAGTAATTCAGAAGCAAATCATATTAATAATCCACCATCACCAGTATTATTAAAGGATAGTATGAGTGAGGGTGTAAATGATATCATCGAACCATTACCCGACTTTGATTGTGATTTAGAAGAGTTTGAAGTAAACAATGAATTTACATTACTCAGTGAAGATACTGGCTTCCAACAACATCAACAAAATTACCAACAGCAACAAACAACAAACACAAATATATTTATTGAATCAATTATAAATTGTGAATCAACTAGTCTTTTTAATTACAACTTTTCAAAATTAAATCCAGTTTATCGTCCATTAGAATATAATAACCAAAACAGCTTTGGATCAAATAAAACAAGTCACTCCAAACCTTTAGTTGAAGATTTTAGCCTTTTATCAATAAATTCAAAAAAAGAATTATCAAATATCGATTTAATCAAATCAAATGATATGTTTTCTTTAGGTTGTATCATTGCAGAGCTCCACCAAGGTCATTCATTATTTACAACACAAACTTTAAAGAGTCATTTTTTAGACTATGAGAAACCAAATCAAAGATCTCACAGAGGCCACTTGGTTAATGGTTATCCAATTACATCTAATTTACCAATCAATGTTAAAGAGGTTGTTGATAGATTAATTACACCAAATCCATCAGATAGAATGCAACTTAAAGAGTTATTGTCATCTACATTGTTTCCAAGCTATTTTAGACAAATGTATCATTTCCTATGTCATTTCCATTCGCTTCATACTCCAGAAGAACGTTTAACTTTTACACTGGCCAATATTGGTATTGTTACATCATTACCAAACGAAGCATTCGATTTAATACTACCATTTATTTTAGAACTCTTTAACAATCCAAAAACTATGGTGTCTGCTCTAATTGATTTGTTGGATCCTTTATCTCAACGTTTAGGTATTCAGTTATCTCAAGCCTATCTATTACCATGTTTAATAAAATTGTATCAACGTCATGACGACCATTTGCTTCAATGCCATTTAATCCAAGTGCCAATGGTCGATATGATAGTCTCTAGGTTTGGTCGTGATGTTTACATTCATCACATTCTTCCATTCCTTTTAGATAGTGTTAAAACCAATCCAAAAGAAAACCCAAATCACGAAATGTTAACAACAGCATTAATTAAAATATCACGTATTTTAGGTGTACCATTAACTATTAGACATATGATGTATCCATTATTAGTTGCATTAACCAAGCCACGTCTCCAACATTTATCCGAACCTCTAGTATCAATTGCATCTAGTCTAGGTGAACAAATTATAGTTAAATTCTATTTTCCTTCAATTTTTACATTAATTCAAAAACATTCTTCCAAGGCATCCAGATCAGAATCAATTCCATGTATATTATTAAAATTATTACAAGATCTCATAGCATTGGTTAAACCAGGTTTACTTTTAAGATGTTTATTCCAGAATAATAACAGCAACTATTTAGCATCACTACTATTAAATCCACCAAACTCATCACTATTGCTACCACTTGCAGAAACATTAATTAAAATTGCAACCCGAATTGGTGTAAACAATACAAAGAATTCAATTTTAAAATACGTTCAACAGTTCTTTGGTAACTATTCAGACCTCTACAAATACTCTGGTGTCGATAGTTATGCTCATATTGGTGGCGATTCTGAAAGTACAAAATCATTGCGTAGTATATATTCACCAGAGATGACCTATCATCTTTATTATAAATTATCTCGTTTAATAGGTTTCGATGTAATGAGAGCTGAAATTACAGACAACTCATTGATCGAACATATCATGAGAGTTTATATTAAAGATAACTCAATAAAGACAAACGAACAACCACTCCAACAGGTTTCACCATATGTTTCAGATGATGGTCTTTACGATGTGTACGAAGAAACACTAGAGCAAAAAATAAGTTCCATTTATAAATTAGACGATTATCAAGATTATGACGATATGATTTGTGACCAAACATTCTCACTTCAAGGAAACATTGTAGCTCAATACAAAGAACATACAGCCTCAATTAGATCGATTTCACTTTTACCATCAGAAGAACGTTTCATGACTGGTGGCAGAGATAATTTAGTAAAGATTTGGAGTTTATATTCACCAAAGTCTCTCACCACTTATAATAATCATATTCATACCGCCCATACTGTACATTTCCTATCGTCATTGGTTGCAAGTTGTGATATCAATAGTCTTCAAGTTTGGGATCCAGAAAGTAAAATCCGTGTAAACTCATTCTCTGAACCAAATGGTACTTTCCATTGCTTTGAACCTCTAACCAACAAATATTTATTAGCATCCCCAAACGAATCGTTCCTTTCATTCTATGATTTATCAATAGGTAACCAAACTAACGAGTGGCAATTATCATATCAAACAAGTCAATCCATTCGTTGTATTACTACATCAAATGATAATTTAATCTCGACCAATTCGAACCAATTATTAAATAATGTTACAGCATCAAGTATTCCTAATGCCTTCCCCACATGGATTGCAACAGGCTCTTCATCAGGTACAATAACCTTATTAGATACAAGAACTGGTACTGTATTAGAACAATGGAAATCACATGATCATAGTCCAATCACCAAACTCATAGGTCAAGGTTCTAGATATTTAATCTCATGTAGTGAAAAAACTGTTATTCAATGGGATCTCTACTCTTCCCCACCATCAATCTTTAAAATGTGGAAGGGTTTCAAAGAAAATATTACATCTGCATCGCTTTATCAAAACGATTTAGTTGTATCCTCTGGTTATAAGTTATCTTCGATGACTCTATTAGATGATCCATATTCTGCTGGTTATAATACTTTTAGAGTAGACGGTCTTAAATTAAATATTCAAAAACAAACAAATATTCAAAGTATTGCTTTCTTACCTTTACATCATATTCTATTAGCTGGTAATGAAGATGGTTCAATTAAAGCTTTACAATAAAAAAAAAAATTTACATTATTATAAATTAATAATTACTAATTTATAATTAAATACAATATATTTTTTTTATTAAATTATTTAAAAAACTATAAATAAAGATTTGTAAAAATTAAAAATTCTTAAAAAGGAAATTTAAATTTAAATTAATTTTAATTTTTTTTTTTTTTTTTAATTTTTTTTATTTTTTTTTTTATTTGTTTTTATTTTTTTAGTTTTATATTTAAACTAAAATATTTTTATAATATTTAAAAACCGAAAGTTAGTTAATAAATAAAGATATTTTAGAAATATAGTTTAGATGGAATAAAATAATAGATTTTGTCTATAATAAAATCTATATTAAAAAAATATGAAATGGGTATTATATTAAAAAGTATAAATAGGTCTGTATTTTAGTTTTTAAATTATTTCAAAAAAAAAACAACTAATACAACTTTAAAAAAAATAATAAATAAAGAAAAATGAATATCAAATACACTTTAATTTTCACCATTTGTACCATATTTACTTTAGGTTTTGTCAATAGAATAAGTGCCAATTGTATCTGTAATGGTGCTACAAAAATAGTTAATTCAAATGATCCAAACGTTTTATCAGAAGATGTTGTAAAGATATTTGCTCATTGGGATCTTAATGGTTCTGTATTCTTGTATAATAAGACCGATGGTTATATTCAACTTCCAGACGAATTCCGTAACAATGTTCAATCCTATCAATCAGGTATTGATGTTTGCTTCATTAAATGGTATCCAAGAGAACAAGTTCAAATCCATGCTGGTGATTATCACAAAAACTATGCTGCTTTAACCAATTTCGGACAAAGAATGGATGGAATCTATGCAGGATCATGTTCAGACGCTATTTGCCCATTATCAAAATAAAATTAAATAAATAAAAAATATTTTAAAAAAAAAATTTAAATTCATCTTCCTATTTTATTTAAAGTTTTTTTTTGAAAGTTTGGAAGATTTTGAGGAATAATATTTTCATAACTTTGTAATAAAAATAATTTTAAAGTTTTAATTCAAAATGAAAACAAATTATTTTATATGGGTATGATAAAAAATCAAACTATTTTTATTTTTTACAATTTTTTTTATAAGTTAATTTTTTTATTTTATGTAAAAACTTAAACATGTATTAATACAAGTTCATGTGATACCATGAGATTTGTAAACTGATTTCCTTTTTAGATTTTTAAAAAAAAAATTTAATTTTTTTTTTTTTATTTTATTTTTTTTTATTTTTAATTTAAGTTTTTATAGTTTTTAAATAAATATATTAAAAAAATTAATTTAATAACCGAAAGGTTCGTTTTTAAATTTAGATATTTGGATTCTATACTTAAGATGGAAGTAATAATCGATTTTATTTTTTAAACATTTATATAAAATTAAAAACTAATATTTATATAATATCTTTTAAAACTTTATAGTTTCCATATAGTTTTAAAAAGTATAAATAGAATGTTATTTTTGAAAAATTATTATTCAAAAAACAAATTTATTAAATAACAATCAAAAAAAGAAATAAAATGAATGTCAAATACTGCTTAGTCTTAATTGTATGTATGATTTTAACCTGTGGGTTTGTTAACAATATAAATGCCGATTGCAACTGTAATGGTGCCACAAAAATAGTTAATTCAAATGATCCAAACGTTTTATCAGAAGATGTTGTAAAGATATTTGCTCATTGGGATCTTAATGGTTCTGTGTTTTTGTATAATAAGACCGATGGTTATATTCAACTTCCAGACGAATTCCGTAACAATGTTCAATCCTTCCAATCAGGTATTGATGTTTGCTTCATTAAATGGTATCCAAGAGAACAAGTCCAAATCCATGCTGGTGATTATCACAAAAACTATGCTGCTTTAACCAATTTCGGACAAAGAATGGATGGACTCTATGCAGGACTATGTTCAGATGTCATTTGCCCAATATCTAAATAAAACAATCAAATAAATAAAATATAAAAAACTTTAGAGTTTTATATTTTTTAAAAACATTTTATTTTTTCAAAGTGATGTAATAAAATAGAAACTTTTTTTTTTTTATCAAAAAGAAATTAAAAAATTAAAATTAAAAAATAAAAATTGTTTATTGGACATTTATATTAAATTTTTTAATTATAACCTTAATAATCATTTTCACTAAATTATTTAAAAAACCAATATCTAAAAAAATTTTCAAATATAAAAATAAATTCAAATTTTAATAGATTCAAAAAAAAAAAAGTTTTTTCAAATAAAAAAATTACAAAATTTAATTACAAACTGTTTTCCCACCACCATAAATTTTATAATGGGGGAAAACAGTTTTTTTTTTCTTTTTAATTTAAATTAAATATAAAATTAATGTAAGTGATATAAATATCATTATGATGCCTTTCAAAAAGATAAAAGAAGTTTAATTATAAAATTAATTTTTTATGAGAAGATTGTCAGGAATTTGCGGAGTGATTTAAATTCAAAAATTAAATTTTATTTTTAATAAAAAAAAAAAGTTTAAATATTTTTTTATATATTCATTATAATATATTTTACTGAAATTGTAAAAATTAAAAATGTATTTCTTTACAGATACTAATATAAATGATATTGTAAGTATAATTTATAATGATAATCAAAAATATTATGTAATATTTACAAATTTGAATTTTTTTCTTAATCATTTCTTACTTATAGGAAGATATGATTGCTGGGTTTGAAGAAAAAAATGTAAAAGAAGTTACCTTTGAACAAGTTTCTGACTATTTAAAGAATGTCAAAGACTGTAAAGATCCATTTTTTGTTGCAGTATCAATATTTAGATCTTTAGACACAAATAGTGATAGTAAAATTTCTCTAAATGAAATCAAGACTCACAAATTATTAACCTTTGCCAAACAATGGGGAGGAATTCTTGAAAGAAATATTAATAAAATGATATTGGAATATGATGAAAACCATGTAGGCTCTCAAAATTTAAATTACTATATAATTTATAAGTTTACTAAAGTTTTATATATTTTATAGGATAATATAATCACTTGGGAGGAAGCATGTAATGTGTTCAGAGATGACCCAGATGTGGGTGAAGATGGTTGTGAAATCAGTACCAAAAGTCTTTTCCACTCCATAGATTCTAATAAAGACAGGGAAATAACCAAAGATGAAATAAAAGCTGTAAGTTTATTTAATTCTATTTTATTCAGAAATAAATTAAAATTTTACTAATCTTTTTTTTATTTATCAATAGTACTTAGAAAAATTGAAGAAATAAATATTTCCCAAAAAACCATGAATTGTTATTCATTTATTTCAAAATCATTAATGGTTTATAAAAAGTAATTAAATAAAAATACAATTGTTAATTTTGAAAATTAAAAATCTTTATTATTTTTTATTTTATCATTATTTCTATAACAACATGAAAAATTAACAACAATATATGTGATTGCATTAATTTACAAATTATATTGGGTGAGTGGGGGGGTAAAAAAATAATTATTTTTTACAAAATTAATTTTAATATTTATTTTTTTTTTTTTTAATTTTTCAATTAATTTTTTTAATTTTTTTTAATTTCATCTCTTCCTTTTTACTATATTTTTTTTTCATAAATTCAAAAACAAATAAATATTCATATTTTAATTATAACAACTAATTTTTCTTATTTAAAAAAATGATTTTTACATCCCGTGTAGTCTATACAAGTCTTGGTGCATTCAATAATAAAGCAGCAACTCAAATTGTTAATAATGCCAAGAAATTCCAAAGTAATATTTCCTTTAATATTGAAGGAGTAGCCAAAGAAATTGATGCCAAAAATTTAAACAGTATCCAAAGATTAAATCTCAAAAAAGGAAGTACTATCGAAATTGTTGCCAAAGGAAAGGATGAAAATAAAGCTGTAGAATCCTTAGTCAAGTTTTTCGAAAAAATGAAATAAATCAATAAAAAAATAATGAAATTAATTTTATAAAACAATAATAAAAAATAATAATAATAATATATTAGTTATAATAAAAAAATAAATAAAAAAATAAAACTAATATTAATTTTTCTAAAGTTTGTTTTTCTTTTTTAAAAATTTATTTCTTTTTCTTTTGTAAATTAACATAGAGTATATTTTTTTTAGTTAATAAAAATCATTTAATCTTTCAATACTACATTCTCTTTCAAAATAAGGTGAAACACAAGTATATCCATAATGTAATTGAATACAACAGTAACCTGTAGGACAACATAGATCATTACACAAAAAAGGTAGATATGATGTTGTAGATGATGAAGCTATTGTTGGGAAAAGAGAAGTTGAATCAATTGTTATCGAGTTGTAAGCTATTGTTGTTGGAATATCAATGGTAGAAATTGAGGCTATTGTGTGTGATAGTGTCACAGGGAGATAAGTGGTCGAATGTAAAGTAGCTATTGCACTGATTGTAGCTAGTGTTATAGAATGATGAATAGTATGACCAATATGAGTAGTAAAAGGAGTAATTGTTGAGCCAATCCCAGTAGTAGAAGTTCTCCCTGTAGTAATCTCTTGTGGATTTATTGTTGATACACGAGTAGTTGGTGTTACAGTTGTAGTGATTGTAGGTACTGTAGTAGTTGTAGTGGGTATTGTAGTTGTAGTAGTTGTAAGTGCAGTAGCTGTAGTAGTTGTAGCTAATGGTGGAAGGGTATAGTGATGTGTACAAGTACAATGATCTTTAATACAAACGGAATCATCACAATCACCTCCTATTACTGCCGTACAATTCAAGGGCTTTCTAACACATTTATTATTTTCACAAACTGCAGGAAAACAAAACTCTTCTGTTATACAAGTTTCACCCTCCCTACATACACAGCCTGGTATAGTTTTCTTTACACAACCTGTTCCTTCAACACACGAATAGGAAATGCATTTATCTGGATTACCACCTTCAGGTTCACATTTCTTTGGGCCGCTATCTAAACAAGAACCACACTTTGGTGTTAAAATACGACATGATTTTTCGGGATTACAAGTTTCAGGACACACTGAATAGCCGCAAGTACCACATGCATTAATCTAGATATTTTTAAATAATAGAATTAATGAATATAATTTTTTCGAAATTAATAATATATATGTCATAATTAATATTTACATCACACATTGTAATCATATCAAAAAACCTAACATTAATTTCCCATAATGAGTTAACCGCTCTATCACATCCAAAGATATCTATATGATATTTTTTATTTGGCTCTCCTGTAACCGTTAACAATTGATTACCTACAGATGAAACACCCATTCTACTAACTATTATTAAACATATTAATAAAAAAAATAATAATTAAAAAAATATAAAATATAATTATTATTTACTTTTTAAAACACCATCGATATAAAGTAAAATTTCCCCTGGATAAATTACGGAAATTGTGCCAACATTTTTACTCCCTGGTATAAACATATAGTCCAATTCAGTTTTCCAACAAAATGAGAAAACATCACCTTGATCTTTATAATCCGGAAACTCGGTGTAATTATTGAAACCACGACCTGAAAATTCTTTTCTAATGTAGTCTGGAGTTGTGTAAAAGTAACCACCATTTTGAGTATGTTCGCCAAGAACTAATGGTAATAGGGTGCCATAGTTTTCGCAATATGTTTCGTTTATAGATCCTTTCCACCATTCAGCAAATGTTTCTGCGTTATTAACCAATAATGTTCTACCATCTCTTGTATATTTTGAATCATCTCCACAACAATACACTGGATATCCATCGGGTCCTAAATTATTCTTTACAACCCCACTTGTACCAAGGGATCCTAATGGTATATCAAAATCTGGATTTCTTTCATATCTAAAATGAAATGCCTGGATATTATAAAATAACTGAATGCCTATGAAAATATATATAATTTAATAATATTTGTTAATACTTTTAATTTATTTATTAATTTATACTTTTCCTTACCATCATTTTGGGAATTAACAAATTCTAAAAATAATAATAGAAATAATAAATTAATTTTAAAATTTATATATCTCCTATAACATAATTTCATTGTTGATATTATTATAATATTATAATTATTGAGCAAGGAAAAAACAAAATAAATATGTGAAATAAGTTTATATATTATTAATTACAACCCCATTTTCAAAATACAAAAAAAAAATAAATTAAAAATAAAATAAAAATTTAATAAAAAAGAAATACATTTTTTTTATTATATATTATAAAAAATATATTTATAAAGTTATTTATTAAATATATAAAATATTTATTTATGGATAAAAAAATTTTTGGAATAAAAACAAAAAAAAAATTATTTTAAAAATGACCACATGGCCAATTTTTAATTTGGAGGCACACGCTTCATTTAACAAATTACCTCCAAAATTTTAAAATTCAAATTTTAAAAAAAATTTGGGTGTTAAAATTTTTTTTTTTTTAAAAAATTTTTTATTTTTTTATTTTTTATATATTATTTTTCTAAATTATTTATATATTTACATTTAAAATTAATAAAAAAAAAATAAAAAATAAATAAAAATAAAACCATATAAAAATAATGATATAAAATAGGAGGAATATAAACAATAAATAATCACAAACCTCCAGTTTTTTTTTTTTTTTTTTTTCAATATATATGGTAAAAACAATAATAAATAATAAATAAATAATAAATAATAGATTTTAAAAAATGAATTCAATTAAAAAAAATCAAATTTTAAATAGAACTCTTAATAGTCATACTAAAACATCAATTATTAGTATGGATGAAGATCAGTCAATCATCCTTTCACCAAAATTATCAACTTCCTCTTCTTCGTCGTCATCATCTTCATCTTCATCATCAAATATAACAAATATTACATCAAATATAATTCAAAATCAACATATTGGTAATAATGTTAAACAAAATATTCAATTAGTTGAACATTTAAAGCAATTTAACACAGTTTTTGAAGAAAAAGGGTTCATTGTTCGAGAACAAATTGATAATAAATTTAATGAAATTATTATTTCAATGAATCAGGTTAAAAATCAAATTTTAGAGTCGATGGATAACACAGAGTAAATATCATATAAATTTAAATCATTTCACTGTTTAAAAAAATAAAATATTAATTACTATTTTTTTTTTTTCTTTTTTTTTTTAATTTCAAATTTAGTTTATTATACGATTTATCATCACCAATCAATAACCTTCAAATTAATAATAATAATAAATCAAAAATAATTTTTAATAATAATGAAGAAAAAATTAATCAGTTGTTTTGTAATAATACATTTAATAAATATATCATGCCAGTTGTCAGCAACCCAATTAAATTAAAATATAGACAAATGTTAATTGAACAACAAGAGTTTAATGAAAAGCATAACCAACAAAAACATTTAAGTGATTTACAAAAAGCACATGAACAACAACAATATGAATTACTTAGACAACAAGAGAACCAAAGACAACAAGAGCATTCACAAACTCAACAAGAATTACAAAGAGAAAAACAATTGTTAAAAGATCAACAAGAGCAATTAAGACAACAACAATCTCAAACTAAACAACAACAAGATCAAATTAAGAGTAATCTCGATAAATTAGAAAAAGAGAATCAAACATTGTTACAACAAAGAGATCAATTATTACAACAACAAGAAAAGATTAAACAAGATAAAGATCAATTAAAGAAAATGGAGCTCTCTATTAAGCAACAGCAAGAACAAGAGATAAAAATGCACAATGACCAATTAGAAAGAAAGCATAGAGAACAATTAGATAAAGAGCATGGCAAATTATTAATGGAACAATCGGCATTGAAAGAAAAGCTCTTTAACGATTACCAAAAACAATTGAATGATTTGCAAAAAGAACAACAATCAAAACAACAAGAACTAATCTCTCAAAAGGAACAATTACAAAAACAATTAGATGATTTAAAGGATCAACAAAATCAATTCCAATTCGAACAATCCATAAAGAAATCCCAACACTCTAATGAACAAAACGATCAGCTCATTCTCAAGCAAGATCAATTAAATAAACAAGAACAACAAATTCAACAACAACAACAAGAATTAAAACAACAGCAAGAACAAATTAAACAATTCCATGACCAATTAATTAAAGAGCACCAAGAGTTAAAGGAACAACAGGATCAATTGAAAAAACAACAAGATCAATTAAGAAATGAACAACAAGCAAAAGAGCAACAATTAAAAGAACAAGAACAATTATTAAAAGATCAAGAGCAACAATTATTAAAAAAACAACAACAACCAATTCAACAAGATCCTCAAACCAATAAAGTTGCCAAACCCGCTATCAGTGCTAATCAAACAAATTTGGTCAAGGTTACAAGTACCACAACTGCTAAACAACCCGCTTCAATTAAATCAGTAGCTAGTATTACCTCAACTGCCACTGTATCGGCAACAACAAGCAAATTGATTTCAAATGGTATTGCTAAACCAACTCCATTAGCAACTGCCAAAGTATCTAATGCTGCTAGTCTACTTAACAAAGGAAAGAAAATCAAAGAAGAAAATAACAAAGAGTATTTAGCAATGATTCAAGAATTGGATAGTAAAGCAACTACCACCACAACCACCACTAAAAAAGCAGTTGAAAATGAAATCAAAAGTTTTAACAGTAAAAAACTTGAAAGTTTAAAACAATTAGCCTCAGGTGGTCTTGATGATCCAATCAATGGTGCTTTAGATGAAAATAAGTTTTTAGAAGAAACAAACAAATCATTAGAAAATACTTTTGATATAATGTCAAATACATTAAAGAGAAAGAATACTGATGAAAATTTAGTATCAAACAATAAAGCAACCGCCACGACCTCCATTGGTATTAAAAAGAGACTAAGTGATGATAAAACAACTGTTATTACATCTAAACCATCAAATGATCTTAATTCTGTAGCCACAAGTGCTCCAACAAAATCAAAAATGCAAACCACTACAATTTCATCCACAACAAGTGCTCCACAAACCATTTTAGCAAACAAGTTAAAGAAACAACAAGAGCTTGAAAAACAAAAACAAGAGGAAGAAGAAAAATTCAGAAAGAAACAAGAAGAATTACAAAAGAGAGAAATTGAAAAAGAACAAGAGAGATTAGAAAAGAAGAAAAAGAACGAAGAAAAGAGAAAGAGGGTCGAAGAAAACTTACAACTTCAAAGAGCTGAAGAAGAGAAAAAGAAGAAGGAAGCTGAAGAAAAAGAGTTATTAAGAAAGCAAAAAGAAGAGCAGGATAGAAAGAAGAGAGAAGAGGAAATAGAGGCCAAGAAAAAGATTCAAGAAAGATTTAGAGAAAAGGAAGAGCAAGAAAGAAGAAGAGAGGAATTGAAAAAGCAACAAGAAGAACTTCGTAAAAAACAATTACAATTACAATTAAAACAACAACAACAACAACAACAACAACAAGAAGAAAATAAAAAGAAAACTAATGTACAAACAATTTTACCAACTCCACAAACACCAAATAGAAATAATACCTTGGCTCAAACACAACAAGAGGATACTGCCAATGCCACTAAAGCCAAATCAGCCCTATCAAATATTCTAAGTATGGTATTTGGTACCACAAAATCACCACACTTCAAACCATCAACTGCTCTCTCAGATAGTGAAGATGAAGATTATTCAGATAGTGACGATAGTTCACAATACCAAAGTGGTGAAGAAGAAGCAGAGGAAGAAGAAGGTGAAATTAAAACCAGTAATAGCAACAATACAAGTGGTGAAGAAGTTGAAGAAGAGTTTGAACTAGACAGCGAGGAGGAAGAAGAAGAAGATCAACAAAGAAAAAAAATAGAAAAAGAAAAATCAATTATTTATGATAGTGACAATATGAATAAATCGCTATTCCGTACTCCACTTCCAAAATCAGCCGTTAATAGCTATTCAAGTAGCCCAGTTATTAAAGGCTTATCGCCACCTTCATCAGTTAGTGACTATAGTCCTTCATCAGAAAGCAATAAGAGCGATTTATCACCAATGGGTCCTAGAACACCAGCCAATAAACTAAATCAAAATAGTTTTAATTCATTCCATGGTCTTTCACCTGCTCAAATTATAGAGGCTCCATTGCAATGTATCAATAATTCAAAAGAAAGTAAATTCTCGCCACTTTTAACAGTAAGAACCACACCATCACCATTAAAGAGTTCACCAATTAAATTTAATGTATCATCAGCTTCATCTTTATCGTCACAATCATTCGATTCAGATGAAGATAGCGAAGATATTAATCTCATTCTTAATAATGGAAAAAATAATAATCAAAACCATATAACTCCAATCAAAAATCAGCAACAACTTCAAAAACAACAAGATGAATTTGAAAAACAATATCCAATTCTAACATCACCACAAGGAAATGATAGTCAAGATAACTACTACTTTGAAGAGGATGATATCGATTATGAAACTGACAAGAGAGTACCAGACTGGGCAAAGAACAACAACTTGGATTATAGCTTAAAACAACAAAGATTCAACGACCCAGATATAATATTTGCTCAAATTGGTCCAATTTATTTATATGAAATTTTCCCAAAACAAGAAATTAATGGTAAACTTAAAGATTTTACTAAAGTTAAAAGAAATTTATCATCGGAGTGGTCTCATGATAGAAATACAGAAAAAGAAAATATTAAATATAGAAAAAACATGGGTTTTATTTATCCCTCAAACAAATAAAATATTTAAATATACATCTTTATAAAAATAAAAATTATAAAAAAAAAATTAAATAAAATTAAAATATATATTGTAAAATTTAATAATTTAATAAAGATTGTTTAGGTTTTATTTTTTATATTCTGATGATTCTGTATTTGTTCCTGTTTCTGTTTGTTTTTTATTAATATACAACTCCGATGATTCTGTATTTGTTTCGGTTGTAACAGTATTAAGAGTAATACCTTTAGATTTATCAGTGGTTGATTTATCTGAATTGGTGGATGATTTAGCGAATCTATTATCGAACAAATAGAGAATTGCTATTGCTGGGATTATCTCTGTAATAATTAAACCTATAAATGTGAATACAATATATTTAACTGATCTAATTGAAATTAAAATAATAAAAATACAATGGAGAATAAAACCTGCACCACATATAGCAGTAAGAGCTTTAATTTTTGGTTGATTGTTTGAATAGATTCCACCCAAGTTAACTCTTTTCATTTCTTTAATAATTTTTGAACCTAAATAGAAAAATGCTAATCCAATAAATAAACTAATGAAAGCTTGAACAACAGAGTAGGCAATGGATACTGCTTCTTGAGAGTTACTGTTTTTAAGTTCTTCGAAAATTAAACTTACGCAATCATTGTTTGGTTGGTATGGTGTATATTGAAAAACGATAACGATGGCAATAAAGAACATATAAATGATTGTGTTGGTTGTACTAACGATTGCATAAAGTCTTTTTTTCATATTACCAGCGGCTGGGTTAAACTTTAAAACAAAAAAGACAATAACATACCAAAGTATAATGAGAATTGAGAATGATGATAAATAAATAAATGTTGGAAGGACCACCAATACATAATCGGAAGCTGGGAAATCTGTTAATCTACCCGATGGTAAGACATAGAAATAGAATGAACGGATTAAAATAAAAGCAGTAATTGAAGTAATAAGTAAATGGGTGAGCTGGAAAGGAGTTTTATTTTTGAATTTAAAAACTATAAATTCAACTATTTGAAGCAAACCATATACACCAACCAAAAGGAAGAGGGAAGCTAAAACGTAAACAATTGCTGTTGATTTAGTATCCAAAACCTTTCTATCTTGATTTTGCCAATCTGATACTCTATTCATTGGATAAATAACTTGATATGATGTTATGTTAATAATTGTTGAGCAATAATAAGTAATAGAATCATAAATTTCTTCCTCTGCTACACTGCCATATGGTTCAAGATTGCTATTATTTGTTTTAATTGCAAAATCTAAAATGGGATACTTTGATTCATTTGGGTTAGTTCCATTGAAAGTCATACAAATTCTAATTTCACTGAGACCATATTCCGATTTTAAAATTATACCATCATCTAAAAGAGTTCCAATTATTGCATCTTTAGAATTTAAAACTGCATAGTCGTCTGGTTTAAGATATGAAATAAAATTGTTTGACAAAGGTTGTGGTGATGAAACTGAGAATACAAATTTGGTTATATGAGAAACTGATACCATTTCACATCCATATGGAGCTGAAGAGTCAGTAAATGAAACATTTCCATTTTCGAATAATAGGGATTTGGTTTCACTATTACAAACTATAGTTTGAACCATTATACGATTTGTTGAATTGAAACAATTTGATCCACCATCTTCACTGCAGCTACATAAAATTGAATTCATGTAGTTTTCATTCTTTTCTTTTTGACAGTATGCTTCTGAAGAATATAAAATGGATACTTGCTTTTGAGTAGCACTGACAATATCATTATAGAAACCGATGTAGTCAAAAGTATCTTTATATTGAATTCTATTGACAAATGATTTATTATAATACCATTGGGAAGTAACATGTACACCTGGGTACCACACTGCATTGCTCCATTTGAATCTATTAACCCATTGGGTTCCAGATTGGTTTTGTTGAAGTAAACAATTCTGTTGATCCATTTGATTAAATCTCGAAGTAAATGGTAAATTATATGGATTAATGATTTCTTGATTATTTTGGTAAATGTAGTCAAAAGTTTTGCAACCCATATGAGATTCACACTCTTCTTTACTTGTTGATGGTTTCCACCATTTTCCTTTTTGAGTGTCACAAACTTCTTTACCTGGAATACTAGTGATTGGATAACATCCCATTGGAGAATCATATTCGATGTCGGGGTCACAACTTTTACCATAAATAGTGTCAACACTATAATCTTTGATGCATTTACCTAAACCATTTGGATATGGGAAATAATCATCTAACACTACCTGGTCATAAAAGATATCATAATCTGAGCATTTTCCTTGGTTTAAGCAATCTTCTTTTGTTTGGCATGGAATCTCTTTTAAATAACACTTACTTCTATAAAAATTATTTGAATCGTCAGAATCTGGATCTGTCAAATTAAAATTAGGACCAATGCAATTGTCAATATCTTTAGATGGACAATCCAACCATGTGTATCCTCCTAAAATACACTCACTTTCATTATCAATACCAGTATTGCAAAGTTCATCAGCATCATATGTAAACCCTTCATCTTGACATTTATTACTATCCATTATGATAGTACCTTCATTTGAGTTATAGTAAAAAATTGGTGCCCATATACATTTGTTTTGAACACCTTTACATTCATAACCACATGGAGATGAACAAGAACCATAATTATTTTCACAATTTTCTTTATCGATATTTGGTAAATAATCACCATCTTTTAAAAGACACATTGAAAGACCTTGATTGCATTCTGCTTCATCAACTAAAACATCACTTTCTGAAAATGGATATTTATTTCCATAAGTGAGTTGTGGTGAACCAACATGAGAAAGAGACCCATTATAAATATGGCAATATGTGTTATCTTGATCGGAACAATAACCACAAAAACTATGAACTGTATTTTCGGGTGATGCATCATCGCAGAATAATAAAAAATCTGAAATAACTTCTTGACTATAACCTTTTGGAAGCATTTTCAAGTAAGCTAGGCAATTAATCTCCTCTGAATTTAAATTTCCATAATATGAATTGTGAAAAAAGTAATTCTCTTTTTCAAATTCCCACCCTCTTACTTGATTTGGAGATTTATAACTGATTTCATTTGAATAGTCAATTAGATTTGGATTGAATGATGCTTCACTAACTTCTAAATAATAAATGTATGTGGAATGCTTTGGCTCGCCTGCTTCAATAACCCAATCTTTTATTGTTAATCTATTGTATATTGAATCGATGACGGTTGAATTTATTTGAAGAGATGAAATTAAAGAATAAAGAGTACCCGATGATAAATTTTCCAAAACACACTCGATGTAGTTTTTATCTGTAATTTCATAATTAACTACACACTTTCTTTTAAAAAGATCACATTTTCTGGTACCCTGAGAAAAATCTTGACAATCTGAGTCTGAACCACAATCTGGTATTTCTAGTAATATATTTCTTCTGCACTCTCTAAGTGTAGTATATGAATTTAAATGTGTTTTTAAAATATCATAACCTGATACTTTACATCCATCATTCTCTCTTAATAGGAATTTTTGTGTAGCAAAATTATTTAATATTATACTTGTACAATCTTGACTAAAACATTCTTGGCTAACTTTATCACTTTGCAATTCTTTAACTTTAAATGTTTCAAACTGAGCAACTTTAGATTCGCATGCCTTATTAAATAATAAATGGAAGTTACAACATGGGTCTTGTTTATAGCCAGGTTCTGATTGAGAGTATATGCATTGTGACGATGAAATATTATATTTTACAGTTTCTAAATTTAAATATGATAAAATTAAATTTTCACACTGAATCCAGTCACTTGATGACTGTATTATACCAAGGTTATATTTCCAACTGTTAAACTTTTCTGTTGACAAGCCATTATTGTTCATACCCTTATTAATTTGTTCTTGTAAACCATTAAATTTGTTAATATCACAATTTGATTCATTTAACTGATTGATACTAAAATCCGAAACTATTAAATTAATTGGCTATTGAATAAAAAAGAAATTAATAATTAATCAATAATATTATTAAAAAAAATAAAACAAAAAATAAAAGAAAATAAATAAAAACAATTAAAAAAAAAACTTACATTATCATTTGAATCAAATATTGTATTTAAAAATTCGACTTTGACTTTTGAGACATCTTCTGGTTTTAAATATTCTATGATACCCTTTCCATAATTTATTGATCTTATAACTGCAAACTGATAAGATTTCTCTTTAAAATTAATTTCACTGCCATTATATTCGATGGTTCTATAATCAAAATCTTGTATAAAATGTAAAGCTGCTGGAACTGGATATAATGGGTTTATTGTTTGTGATGGGAACAAAATTGAATAAGGGTAACAAGAATCAGAATCTGTGCAACTGAAATATTTGTTTTGAATTTGAATTCTTGATGATGAAGATAGAGCTAAAGAACCTTCTAAGAAACCCATTGAACTTATTTTTTTTAAAAATATCTTTTGACTTTTTACAATATATAACTCTGGAAAAAAATTCATAATAAGACATACTTTATTTGGGCAAACCATATTTAAAAAGAGAACTGTTGGTTTTTCTATATAAACAGTTAAAGATTTTGCAAAATTTGAATTTCCCACTTTGAAAAAAAAATAATATTAGTGTTTCTATGTCTTATTAATTATTATATTTTTATTATTTGTAATAATATTTACCATTTTTCAGAATATATTTTGAATTTTCTTCATTTAGGTTTTTGATAGATGAATCGTCACTGATAAATAAATTTGCCTCGCCACTAGACTTTAAACTAACAAAATAATATCCAGGATCATTAATTTCGATAAAGTACAAATTGGAACTATAAATCTTTATAAATTGACCCAACCCTAGACATTCTTGATCTTCATACTGATTTACACACGATTTAGTTATTGTATCACCTTCTACAATTGTTGGAACATCCATAAAATCTAACTCAATTGAAAATTGAGATTCTGGAGTTACTGGTAGAATATCAATGAAATAAGTACCTTCTATAGTATTATAACTATTTGGACATACACTTAATAATATATTATCATTCAATGATTCGAAAACTCTTCTTTTAAGATCTTCTGTATAATACATTGTAAAACTTCCTTTGATGGGTGTGACTTTAATTGAGAAACCCAATGACTTTCTATTATTATTGAATCTAAATTGTGTTTGCTTATTGATTGAAAAGTTATTTGTGCTTCCATTGATTGATAACGATACCCATTCCTCAGCTTCTACATTAGGTTCCTTTACCTTACAAGAAAGGGTCACTGGGCATGACAATGGGTATTCTGGATTATTTGATACAGTAAAGTCACAAAAACATGAATCGGTTGAATCATCAAACAAAAAATTTGGGCCATCTGAAAACAATGGGCATCCAACTGATGAATGTTTATATAAATCATCATCGAATGAAATATCATATAAAGCATATGATATATCAGTACCCATTATATTTATATTTTTATTTGTTACATTTTTAGATGATACATTAATTCCTATATTTAAACAAAGAAAAATATATAAACAATATTAATAATTAAATTATATTTCTTAAGAAATTTTAAAAAAAAATGAAAGAAAAAAAAAATTCAGGTGTTTACCATTGACAAAAAATAAAAAATTAAATATTAATAATAAATTAAATATTAATAATAAATTAAATATTATCATTTTTTTTATTTTAATAAAGACTCTATTTTTATATTTATAGATTATTTAAAAAAATTTTTTATAAAAAATTTTGATCATAAAAAAAAAAAAAAAATTTTAAAATTGATTACATTTACATATATTTTATTTTGGGATTCAGGTAATTTTTTTCATAAAATTTATAAATATCTTTTTTTTTTTTTTTTCGAAATAAAAAAAAAAAAAAAAAAAAATTTATTTTTAAAAAAAGATAAAAGATGATATAAATAGAAATATTAATATTTCTTTTAAAAGATATTTTTGTATTTATATTCTACATTTTTTAATATAAAAAAAAAATGTAAGAAAATAAAAAAATTAAAAAAAAAAAATAAAAAAAAATAAAAAAAAATAAAATTACCCTTTTATATTTTTAAACAATAACCCTTAAAACCCCATATTTTTTTTTTTTTTTTTAAAATTAATTTTCATTTTTTAAACATTTTTGAAAACCAATAAGGTTGATTGGGATTATTCAAACCTTTAATTATTCTAAAAAATGGTTTGATAGTTTATTTATTTTTTTTTTTTTTTTTTTTTTTTTTTTTTTTTTTTTGTATAAATTAATATTTATTTTTTTTAAATTTGTATAAATTAAAAAAAAAATTAATTAAAAAAAAAATCTAAATAATAAAAATATAGTAATAATTATATTTTTTTAAAAAATGAATATTAATAATAATATTAAATTGAATTTATTTATATTTAGAGAAGTAGCAGGTTTTTTGGCTTACAAAAAGAATTTTAAAGAATTGTTAGAACTAGGTCTTTTATCAAGAAGCTGTTTTAAAATATTTCAAAATATTATTTCACAAAGTAATTTTTATAATATAGTTTTAGAATTTCATAATTTTAAAAATTATATTTTAAAAAGCAACAATGAAATCCACTACAAAGAAAAACTAATTCAATATAAAGATATTGAAAGTTTGTGTTTGGATTTGGGAATTTCATGCGATTATGATGAAAAGAAATTTTCATTTGTAGAATTGCAAAAATTTCTACTAAACAATTGTCCATCTTTAAAGCATGTAGAAAAGAATGATGTAATCTTGGCAAAGTATTTCCAGATGAATGGTGGCCACGATCTCTATGATAGAACTATGAATGGCTTTTATAATTTCAAAAGACTAATTGTTAACTGGGAGAATTTTTTGGTGCCTGCATCAAACCAAAGAGAATTAGAAGATACCGCTATTTCTGTCTACAGTTCTAGAAATTATGAATTTAGCTTTGAATTTTTAAAATATTACATGCCAAAGAAAGTTTACATTTCGACCAACCCAAATAAAAGAGTATGTTTAGAAAAGATAAATCATATTCTAGACTGCCAATCCATCGAGTCCATTCATTTCTTTTACCAAGACACACCTAAAAAATTCATTAAATCTGCATTAGAACTCTCAAGAATCCGTTCTCTTACTATTTTATATGATTTAGAGAATGACCAAGACTTCCTAAACACTTTTAAAGAACTTTCAAATTCAAATACAACTCTCAAGAAACTAAGATTCAAAATGGGTGATGACAAATATTATGAAAATGGATTTTCATTTGGTTCAGATACACATAAACTATTCAAATTATTAAAATCAAACCAATCAATTACCTCTTTGGGATTTGAATATTACAATATCAGCTCCAGCTCACACTTGGAACCATTAAAACAATTTAGTAATATCCAATCCCTGTACTGTAATGAAAAAAGCTTAATATCGTTTTTAATACACATTAAAACAAACCCAAATATAAAGAAATTAAAATGTGTAAAACAACTATACGATGATTGGGAAAATTTTGATTGGAAGAAAAAAGAAATTGAAAAATTAATTAAAGAAGTATCTCAAAAACCCCCATCCTCACCCTCCTCATCTCCATCCCTCTCATATTCATCCTCATTATTCCCTCCTTCCTCTTCTTTGGAATCCATCACCATTGAAATTGAAGTTTTTGAATTTTTTGAAAAGAAAAATGTAATAGAATCATTTAAAAAAATTTTTTGCAATATCAAAAACTCAAACAATAATAATATTAAAAATATTGAATTTATTATTATTATTAAACATTATTTTAAAAATTTAAAAGAAAAAATTATATATTAATAAATAAAAAAAAAAATAAAAAATGTTGTAATATATACATAAAAATATTATAAATTTAATTTTTGTGTTGAGAATTCAACCAGTTTTTTTTCAGAAACCATTTGTTTCGGGTTTTTATTTTTTTATTTATTTTTATTTATTTTATTTTTTAATTTTATTTTCAAACCCAACCAAATCAAATAATTTTATTAAAAATGAAATGTTATTAAGATCAGTGTTTTACATGTTTTTTTTTTTTTTTTGAGTTTAGTGTAAATGTAAAAAAAATAATAAAAAATAATAAAAAATAAAATTTAAATTTTTAAAAAAAATAATTTTTTTTTTTATATAAAAAAAGATAAAAATTAAAATTAAAATTCACCAAAAATTGGATTATGGTTTGATTTGTTGTTGGGGATTATTATAATAATAAAAAAAAAAAAAAAAGAAATTTTTAATTTTTTTTTTTTATTTTTAGTGTTTTGATTGTTTTAAAAAAAAACGGTTTATTGTTGTTATTTTATAACTTTTGTTTTGTTTTATATTTTTTATTTTTTGTTTTAAAATCATTTTATAAAAATTAATAAATGATGAATTTAAAATGCAATTAAAAAAATTTGTATCATCATTTTTATCATCATTATTTATATTTAATATATTTTTTATAACTTTTGTAATATCTTGTAATCAATGTAATAAAGTTGGGGATCAATGCATAAGTAGTGACTCTTGTATAGACTCTGCGTGTGTTTATGCGTCAGTAGATTATAACATAACAACATCAAAAAAGACCTGTGTAAAATATGGTAAACTAAATGAAAAATGTTACGAAAATCAATGTGGTGATGGACTGTTTTGCGAATTTGATATATACCCACCCAATGAATCGGGAACATGCAGAAATGCAAGATACTCATTGTAAGTAATATGGTTACTATATTAATTATAAATAAAGTGATCACTAATAATTTTAATTTTTTTAAGAATTGGAGAAAGATGTACAGAATATAAAGATTGTAGTAGTTTTTTTGCAAATTGTGTAAATGGAAAATGTGTATCTAATGGTAATATGTGTTATGTAAATTTTGATTGTCAGTATAATTATTATTGCAATTCTACAACTTTTATATGCGAACCAATGAAAACAATTGATCAAGATTGTATAGACTCTACCAATTGCGAATTTGGTTCATTTTGTTCAAAGAGTACAAACAAATGTAAGAAATACTTTACTTTAGAAGAAAATGATGAATGCGACGTTGATTCTCAATTCGAATGTAATAGTATCACAAGTAATTTATATGTAGGTCATAATAATAATAATAATAATAATAATATATTTAAAGAAACAAATACTAATTACTAATATACAATATACACTCTATCAATTACAGTGTTCTTCAAATAGTAAATGTAAAAAATATATAGATTCAATAGAATGCACAGTACCAACATATGATTCAAGTACGTGTAATAGTTTTGTAAATAATTCAATTTGTGGATGTGATAATAAGTGTCATTCACTAACAAATATAAATATAAAAAATAAAAAACCAATTGACGATTTATCAAATTGCTTCATTAAAAACAAATGTACATTTATAAGAAATATTCAAAGCTCAAAATCATGTATATATAAATATTGCTCAAGTGAATATTGTAACTATTTATCATTGGTTAAAGGAAGTGATAGCTATTTTTCAGATTGCTCATCCGGTGATCCGATTCAAAGTCTACATATTTGCAATAGCTCTTACAGTAGTGAAGATATAGATAGCGTAAACAACTCTATTCAATTACATAGCATAACCTATATAACTCTATTCATTTTTTTAATAGTATTATTATTATTTTAAAAAAAATAAATAATAAAAGTAAATTCTAAAGTAGGTTAACTGCCTAAATAGATCCATTCATTCATTTATTTATTTATTAATTTGCTATTGTATATTAAAGAATATGATCGTGGGTTCTTTTGATATTTATGCGGCACATTTGAAAAGAGCCCATTTACTTATTATTATAACTATTGGGTGCCATTTAACTTGATTACTGTTGATAGTTTGGATATTGGATCTAATGTTGTTATTGATAGTACTATAAACATTATTATTGTTTTTAATTGATAATGAGTTTAAAGAATCTATAATATAAAAAAATTAATATTTTAATTATTTTTAATATAAATTTTAATCCATACCAAAGAGAGTCATAGTTGAATATATATATTATTTTTTGATTTATTAAAGTTATATTTAGAATTTGAACAATATTATTATTTATATAAACTATTCTATATTTTATACTTTTTTTTTTTTTAATTCCTCTGTTTAATTTTATTTTTATTTTTATATTCTATTGATTATTATGAGAAAATATTAATTAGGAGAAATTTTGTGGTTTTAGTAGTATATAGTAATAATGATAAAAATAATTTTTGTGAATGGTGAATATATCTATCTATTTTTTTTGGACTTTACCAAAAAAATTAAATAGAATTTTTTAATTTCTTAAAAGCCATTTTAAACTAATATTATTATTATTAATATTATTTATATTTTTATTATTTTGGTGTTTTTTAAACTAATATTTATTATTATTATTATTTTTTGTTTTTATTATTTTTTATTATTTATTGTTTTATTAATTTCAAAATTATTTACATATTATAAAATTTAAAACTCATAGTCCTTTTCAAATTTAAAATAATTTCTTTAGATTATCTGAAACCATCTTTTTTTTTTTTTTTTTTTTTTTTTTTTTTTTGGGTTTTTAAATTTGAAAATAAAAAAAAATAACTGTTGTATATTTATTGAATTTCTATTTTTATATAATATTTGAAATTAAAAAAAAGATATATATTAATCATTTACTAAATAAATATTATTCGAATTGATCTTTTTATTGATATTTTAATATAATTATTAATAATTCTATTTTCTTAAAAAATACATTTTGTATTTTAATTGAATGATATATAAATAACCAAATGTAATATTAATTTTAAATAATTAATTTGTAGAATTAAATAACAAAAATAAAATAAAATGCCTTATTTGATATTTTATTTCATTTTAATTTAAAAAATTAAAATTTTTATTTTTTTTTTTTTTTTTTTTTTATTTTTATTTTTTTTAATTTTTAATATCTGTTTTTTAAAAAAAAATTATATAACTATTTATTATATTATGGCCTCGTTACTATCTAAAATCCCAAAAGGGTGGAATAATATGGCATCAACACCTCAAGCTGTAGAATTACTATCAAGATTTGGATTTACATCACAATTTTCAGTAGAAGCTTTAAAACTAACAGCTGGAGATCAACCAAAACCAGATAATTTCAAAATATTAGATGTTGCAACAGGTACAGGAACATTATCATTATTTGCATCATCAATTTTTAAAAATGCTGATATAATAGCTTCAGATTTTTCACCAAATATGATTTCAATTTTAGATCAAATTATTAAAGAAGATGGAATAACCAACATTAAAACCAAAGTCGAAGATGGAATGGTACGTATTTTTATTATTTTGATCAATTTTAGTAAAAAAATATCACATAAACTAATTATATAAATAATATTAATAATTACTATTAATTTATTTTATTTTAGAATATGAAAGATTACAACAATGATACATTTGATTATTGTTATTCAATGTTTGGTTTAATTTATTTCCCAGATAGAGTTAAAGGACTAAAAGAAATGCATAGAGTATTAAAACCAAATGGTAAAGTTGCAATAGGCTCATGGCAAGAAAACCAATATTTGGCATCACTTTTATCAGAAACCTATGAACAACTAATGGGTAAACCATTACCAATCGAGCAACCCATTATTTCAATGTCTGATAAAGATCAATTTAAAAAAGAAATGGAAGAAGCAGGTTTTAAAAATGTAGAAATTCATTCAATAACAAAATATTTTAAAGAATCAAAAACATATGAAGAAATTTTAAATAAAGGAAATCCACCAGTTGATGATGTTATAAATATTATACCAAATGAAAAAAAACAAAATTTTGATCAAATATTCTTTGATATCGCAAAAAAAAGATTCCCAAGAAAAACAGAAACAGAAACTATTAAACTCAGCGCTCCAGCATTTATTGGTATTGGTTATAAATAAAAATAAACAAATAATTTTTTTTTAAAAAATAAAAAATAATAAATTGTTTTTTTTTTAGTTAAACAGTTTTCTTTTTTAAATTTTTTTTTTATTTTTTATTTTTTTTTATGAAATTTAAAAATTTAAGAGAAAAAAAATAAAAAAATAAAAAAATTTAATTTAAAAAATTAATATTTTTAAATTTATTTGTTTTTTTTGGAAAATAGAAGCCATTGAGAACTCAGTTCTTTACCAAATATATACATCAACGTACAGAAATTCGTTTTTTATAAAAAATTTAAATTTTTTGTTTTTTTTATTATTTTGTTCATCTTTTAAAAAATTTTAAAATCATTTTTTTTTGTTTTTATTAAAAGATAATAATAAACAGATAAAAATAATATAATGGCAACAAATTCTAATACATTACTATCTAAAATTCCAAATGGATGGAATAATATGGCATCAACACCTCAAGCATTAAAAGTATTATCAAGATTTGGTTTTACATCACAGTTTTCGGTAGAAGCTTTAAAATTAACAACTGGAGATCAACCAAAATCAGATAATTTCAAAATATTAGATGTTGCAACAGGTACAGGAACATTATCATTATTTGCATCATCAATTTTTAAAAATGCTGATATAATAGCTTCAGATTTTTCACCAAATATGATTTCAATTTTAAATCAAATTATTAAAGAAGATGGAATAACCAACATTAAAACCAAAGTTGAAGATGGAATGGTACGTATTTTTATTATGTATATTACTACACAAAAACTTATTTGAACTAATTTAAAAATACTTATTTTAGAATATGAAAGATTACAACAATGATACATTTGATTATTGTTATTCAATGTTTGGTTTAATTTATTTCCCAGATAGAGTTAAAGGACTAAAAGAAATGCATAGAGTATTAAAACCAAATGGTAAAGTTGCAATAGGTTCATGGAGAAAAGACCACTATTTTCCAGTTATTTTATCTAAAACTTATGAAAAATTAATGGGTAAACCATTACCAATCGAACAACCAATTATTTCATTGGGTGATAAAGATCAATTTAAAAAAGAAATGGAAGAAGCAGGTTTTAAAAATGTTCAAATACATTTAATTGATAAAATCCCAAAAGATTTAAAAGAATATAAAGATATTCTATCAAAAGGTAATCCCGTTATAGACGATGTCTTAAACATTATACCAGACGATAAAAAACAACAATTTGAAGATTTATTAGTTCAAGTAACCGAACAAACATATCCAAGAAAATCAGATGGAACTATAGAATTAGATTCACCATGTTATATAGGTTTAGGAACCAAATAAATAAAATAAAACAATCTAAATTAACAATAATAAAGTATTATTTTTTTTTTTTTTAAATTTTTTTATTTTATTTATATTTTTTTTTTTTTTTTTTTTTTAAAGTTTTAAGTTATTGTAAAAAATACTATGAATCTAAAATGAAATTAAAAGTTTATTTTTTTGATTTCTTAACTTTCTTTTCACTATCATCATCATCTCTATCTTTTCTCTTTTTATCTTTCTTTTCTTTCTTTTCTTTCTTTTCTTCTTTTTCTTCTTTCTTTTCTTTCTTGTCTTTCTTATCTTTCTTTTCTTCTTTGACTTCAACTTTTTCTTCTTTCTTTTCTTTTTTATCTTTCTTGTCTTTCTTTTCTTTCTTTTCTTCTTTGACTTCTACTTTTTCTTCTTTTTCTTCTTTTTTGTCTTTCTTTTCTTTTTTATCTTTTTTGTCTTTCTTTTCTTTCTTTTCTTCTTTAACTTCAACTTTTTCTTCTTTTTTATCTTTCTTTTCTTTTTTGTCTTTCTTGTCTTTCTTTTCTTTCTTTTCTTCTTTGGCAACTGGGACTTCTTCCATTTCGACTTCTTTAACTTCTTGTTTGATTGAAGTTTCTTTCATAGATTTACCAGTGGCGTCTCTAGTGGTGTTATTTGATGATTTGGTATGATCGTATTTTGGAGTAGCGTGTGATTTTTCAGCTTTATATTCTTTACGAACTTCTCTACCTTCGATGGCAGCGGCTCTTCTATCTACAGAGTTCTTGTATGAAATACCGTAACTGGTATCACTGACTTCACTGAGAGCATCGAAACGAGCAGATAAAGCAGCTTTAGCAGCGAGAACTCTTGACATTTTACCTTTATTTTTTAATGAGGCTTCACCAACGATTTTAGCGTTATAGATGAGACCATATTTTGGAGTGTTATGTTTGGTTTTAAGAGCTCTGAAGAGGGCTTTTTCAGCACCTAAAATTTGAATAGTTGAAGCTGGGTATTTAGCTAAATTCATGAGGGAACCAGCACGACAGATTAAACGAGCACCGACGACTTCACCAACTAAAATAGTAAGATTTGGAGCAATAGCATTCATACGGTTTTTAAGGTATTCAGTGAGTTCGTTGTGGTAAGCTTGAATTGAAAGGAATTGGTCACAGAGAGCAAAGATGTGGTCTAAATCTTCTTCGGAAATTTCAGTACCCATAGAGATTTGAGCGGCTTCTTTGACATCTTCGGCAACTTCTGATGGAATAACTTCACCAAAATCGGTATTGACGGCATTCTTTCTGTTACCCATCATTTTAATAACGTTGGCGTATTGGGTGTGACTGGCAATTAACTTACCAAGTTCTGGGAAATGCCATCCGTACCATTCTCTAGCTCTCATGGCGTAGATATTGATTTCTTTGGTTAAATCATCTAATAATGAAATGGCTTGAACAATCATAGTATCAACCTTATCTGGTGAGAATTTTAATTTGTATCTTGAATATGAGTGAGATAAACCAATTGACATTGAATTTAAATCTTGTTCGTTGGCATTAACTAATGATTTTAATTGAAGACGAATACCTCTAATTAATTCATTGGTAGTTTCATCACAGAGAACTTTAATGTTGAGTGCATCTTTAATGGCATTACCAAATTTAGTGTCACTAACAATTAATTGTTCATTTAATTTTTCGTTGACAACATTTTTCTTTAAAAAGTTTGAAAGTGATTCTGGAACTTTACATTCTGAAACTGCAGTTTGGGCTTCTAATGCATCTAAAGTACCATCAAATTTGTAAAATTTCTTTAATGAAATACTATTATTATATAAATAAAAATTAATATCTTAAAAACTATATTTTTGAAAATAATAAAAAAAAAGTGGGTGTGTGAAAAATAAACATTTAAAAAATAACTTAATCATTTTTTTAAGGTTATTTTTATTTTTTGAATTATTTATTCATCCCTTTTTTTATTTATTTATATTTATAAATATTTTGAATGGGTTTTTTTATACGTACATTGATGAAGCACCTTCTGGTGATGAGAAAACTTTGTTGATATCAGCAGCTTTAGACTTACTGATTTTACCTTCGTCTAAAACTTTGAATAAAGCAAAACCAGCAGATGTTTCAAATAATACTAACATTTTTTAAATTATATGTTATAGCTTTTGTATGCTACGCTTATTATCGAAAAATAAAAAAAAAATTAAAAAAAATAAAAAACGAAAAAAAAAAAAAAAAATTATTTTTCGAAAAAAAAAAAAAAAGAAAAAAAAATTATAAAAAAAAAATTATAAAAAATAAAAATAAAAATAATAAAAAAAACGAATCGTGTTTGTGATTTTTGTTATCACTTTTTTTATTTTCATATTTTTATATTGGTTTTAATAATATGTTTTATTATTATTTTGTTATAATTATAAATATTATTATTGTTTATTATTTATTATTTTATTGATAATAATAATATTTAAAATTTACAATAGTTTTGATATCTTGGAATTGGTATAACATCTCTGATATTTTGTAAACCAGTGACATATTGAAGGAAACGTTCAAAACCTAAACCAAAACCACCATGTGGTACAGAACCATATTTTCTTAAATCTAAATACCATTCATAGGTTTTTTGATCCATTCCTAAATCTTGAATATTTTTTAAAAGTATATCATAACGTTCTTCTCTTATGCTACCACCAATTAATTCACCTACTTCGGGTACTAATAAGTCCATATTTGAAACAACATTTGGGTTGCTATCGTCTTGTCTCATATAGAATGGTTTAATAGATTTTGGCCAATTAATAATAAATACTGGAACATTGCCAAAGTGTTGAGTAATATATTTTTCGTGTTCTCTTTGAAGGTCATCACCCATTTCAATTGAGTTTTGAGTGATTTCTTTTGATTCTTTTAATAGATTGATTGCATCTTTATACTCTAATCTTATAAATTTATTATCAACTGTTTTTTTTAATCTTTCAATTAAACCTGTATCGATTCTCCTATAATCATTTGAAATAAAAATATTAATACATGTTTTAAAATATTATAATATGGGGATACATACTTGTTAAAAAATTCTATATCGTCTTTGCAATTGATTAATAAATTATTTATAACATATTTAAGAAAATCTTCAGCAATATCTAAATTATCGTTGAGGTCAATAAAAGCTATTTCAGGTTCGATCATCCAAAACTCTGAAAGATGTCTTGGTGTATTTGATTTTTCTGCTCTAAAAGTTGGACCAAATGTGTATACTCTAGAGTGAGATGATGCAAAAATTTCAGCCTCTAATTGACCCGAAACTGTAAGGTAAGCAGGTTCACCAAAAAAGTGTGGTTGTTTATTTGATTTATTATCTAGTGTTGAAACGACTTGAAATTGTTCACCACCACCTTCACAATCACTTGCTGTAATAATTGGTGTATGTACATTAATGAAGCCATTCTTGTTAAAGTATTGATGTATTAATTGTGTTGATTCATTTCTCATACGGAATAATGCACCTGCTGTATTACCTCTTGATCTTAAATGGGCGATTTCTCTAAGGAACTCGAATGTGTGATGTTTTGGTTGCAATGGAAATTCGTTAGGACAATCTCCTATTAATTTGATATTCTTTAATTGCATTTCTACTTGTGGGTTTTTTCCCTCACCTTTCATTAAATTTCCTTCAGCCTCAACTGCTGAACCATGCTTAATATTGCTAAATGTGTCTTTATCACCTACGATTTGTAGTCCTTGTACACTTGATCCATCATTAACTTCTATAAAACTAACATTCTTCTGTATTCTGATATTTCTGACCCATCCTTTAACTTTATGAATTTTATTTGAATCGATACCTGCATCCCCGCTCTTTCTAATGTCGCTGATTCTAACTGGCCACTTGTAAAATCTTTTAAAATAATTTAAATTATTCATTCTTGAATTTTAAAACAATAGGTTATAAATTAAATATATATAAAACTAATTTTAATTTTACAATAATAAATTATTCTTTAAAGACAAGAAATAAATAAACACAAATTACAATAGATTAAGATAAAAAAAAAAAAGATTTCTATTAACACACAAACAAACAAACAAACACACGCACTAACACAACATTAATATTGTTAAATCACACAATTAATTTTTCGTTTTTTAAAATTTTTTAAATTTTTCAATAATTTTTTTTTTTTTTTTTTTTTTTAATTTAAAATTTGCTTCTTTTTTCTTTTTTTATCAAAAATTTCAATCAATATTAGAATCTAAAAAAAGATAATTATCTCATTATCTTAATCAAATATTGATTTTAATCATTTATATCAAATTATATAATAAATATAAATTATTTTAAATATAAAAAAAATATAATTTTTTTAATTTTAATAACTTTTTTTTTAGCTCCATTATTTAAAATAATAAAACATAATTAATTCCTTTTTTATAAATATTTAAAGTAATATTATTATATTTTATAAAAAATAAAATCTTTTTTTTAAATATTTAAAAAAAAAAAAAAAAAAATAAAAAAAATTATTTTAATTTTTTGTAATTTTTTTTTTTTTAAAATTTTTTTTTTAATTTTTTTTATACATAGCAAGATTAAAAGATATATATAATTAACTTTTATATTTTTATTAGTAAATAATAGTATTTATTTTATACCCAGTTTTTTTTTATACTTAAAAGATAAATATAATAAATAAAATAAGGAAGGAATAAATTTTTTTTTTTTTTTATCGTTTTGTATAATAAAATGACAATCGCTAAAAACCAAAATAACACTGCTGTGGATAATCAGCAAAAAAAGAAACAGCAAAATAACAGTGGTAATAATAATAATAAAAATAAATCTTCACAACCAGTTCAACAGCCACAAAATAAACAGGTTTCACCGGAATCAGCACAACCACAAACAGATTCTATATCACCAAAAGACGAAAATAATCAACCAACATGGCAGGAAATTGCAAAGAGTTCTTCATTATTGGATAGATCAAGTAAATTAGATATTACAGGCTCAAATAAATCGACATCTTCGTTATACAACAATTTATTAGATGAAGACGAAAATTATAATCAATATGATAATGATAAACCAAATATACCAGATTTAAATAATACAATTAATAATAACAATAACAATGGCAATAATGTCAATGATAATGATGATCTTTATATTAATAAAAATCAAAAAACCAATAGAATAAAAAAACCAAGCGATAATAATATTATTAATAGTTTAATTAGTAAAGATGAGCTTTTTTGGCAAAAAGAATCAGAAATCAATAAACACAAACTAAAAGAATTTTGGTTAAGTTTAAGTGAAGAAGAAAGAAGAGATTTGGTTCAATCAGAGAAAGAGTCATTATTAAAAAAGATGAAAGACCAACAAAAGCATACTTGTACATGCACTGTTTGTGGTAGAAGAAGAACTGTTATTGAAGAAGAGTTGGAAATGATTTATGATAGTTACTATGATAATATGGCTGAAAAAGTTTATATTTCAAATGAAAATTTATCATTAGGCAAAGAACAACAATCACAAAAGAAACAACAATCAGTAACACAACAACAACAACAACAACAACAACAACAACAACAAAGATTACAATCAACCCAACAACCACCAAATAAAAAAAAGAAAACATCAACAACTACAACAAACAATAGTGGCAAAGTTTTACTTACAAAGCAAATGGCACAGCATTATAAAAGTAAACAACCATTAAATAGTCAACAATCCCAACAACAAGCCATTAAAAAGCAACAACTTTCTCAAAATATGATACCGCCATCTCAGCCACACATTAGGGTTCAAAAGAAAGTTACTAATCATTCACATGGAAATCATATTGTAGCAAAGGCTTCAATCCAATTTAGTAAGACCAATAGCCCCAAAATTGAAACTAAGAATAAGAAAATAAGTGAAGAGGACTCAACTATAGTAAACAGTAACAATAGTAAAGATCTCGATTATTTAGAAATTATTAAATTAGAAAAAGATTTAATTCAAGGTAAATAATCCATTAAAAAATATCATTTAAAATTTTATATTTTATTAATAAAATTTTTTTTTTTTTTTTCAAAAAATTTAGCTATAGGAGAAGCAGATTGTGACCATGATTTTTATAAAAAAGAGGGAAATGATAATATTTCTATAAATAATAACAACAATAATAATAATAATAATAATGATGGTATAAATATGAATTTAAATATGAATATAAATAATAGTGGTAATAAAAATAATTATAAAAAGAAAAAAGTTAATTTCATAAGACAATTATATGGTGACGAAAAATTTGAAGATGATGACGAAGAATATGAGGTATTTAATAACAACTGTGCCAATAATTATAATAATAATAATATTAGTTATAATAATACCAATAATAATATAAATAATAATATAAATAAAAATAAAAAAAACAAGAATAGCAAAAGTAATAATAATGGTGTTAACCCTCAAGATTTAACAGATTGCGAATTTTCCGAATTTTTAGAACAGCTTGATGAAGAGGAAATTGAAGGTATTAATACCACAAGTAGAAGATTGATTATTCAACAACACATTCGTCATTTATACCAAGAGCAAGAATTTCTTAATAGTGGTAATAAAGGTAGCAATAAAAATATTCATTTATCATACCATGGCTTTAATGGCTTTATTAAAGATAATGGAAATATTTATTTTGACTCTACAGGAAAAGGAAATGGCAACGAAGATTCTGAAAATGAATCAGAACCAAGTGATGAGGCATTCAAAAGATTAGGATACCATGACTGCACAAACTCTGATGAAGTTTCCGAATGCGAAGATAACGAAGATGATGAGGATGATGAAGAAGAAGATGATTGCAACGAAGAATACAATGAAGAATGGATCGATTGTAATGGAAATGAAGAAGAAATTTGCGAAGGCCATCACCATCACCACCACCATCACCACTATGAAGAGGAGGAAGAAGAGTGTGAAGAGGAGGAAGAGGAACTCTCTGAATGCGATGAAGAAGAAGATGATGAGCTTGAAGAGTGTGATGATGAAGAGGATGACGAAGACGAAGAAGACGAAGAGGATGTAGACGAATCACATGGATCATTTATGAAATATAGTAAATCACAGCTTCATGCGTGCCATTCACACCGTCATCCACACCACTATCATCGTCATTACCATCACAACCATCACGAAGATGATATCGATGACTCTGATGACCATGGTGATTCTGATGAATCTGATGAATCCAACTCTGATGTTTCCGAAGAGAGTGAAAAGCAAATGGAGGAAGGTAGAAAAATGTTTCAGGTATTTGCATCAAAAATGTTTGAACAAAGGGTATTGACAGCATACAAAGAAAAATTGGTTTTGGAAAGACAAAAACATCTTTTAGAAGAAGAAGAAATGAATGAAAAAAGGGAAAAGCTTTTAAGAGAACAGAAACTTAAGCAAAAGAAAGAGAAAAAGAAGAAGCAAAGAGAACAAAAAGAAAAAGAAAGAGAGGAGAAGGAAAGAAAACAAAAATTGGCTGAAGAGGAAAACGAAAAGAGAAAACAAGAAGAGTTAAAGAAGCAAGAAGAAAAAAGAAAAGAAAAACAAAAGAGAAAAGAAGAATTAAATCAAAAGAAACAAGAAGAGGAGGAAAGAAAAAAACAAGAGCGTTTAGAGCAACAAAAACAAAGAGATAAAGCTAAACAGGATGAACTAAAGAAACAAGAGCAGGTTAACAGAGAAAATGAATTAAAGAGACAACAAAAACGTTTAGAAAGAAACAAGTTAGAAAAAGCTTCAAATAAATATAATACAGGTAAAAAATCTACATTACATGTTTTGCCTGATGTTGTTAAACCAATAGCCAATAAAGATGAGTTATTACAACCTCCACAATCAAATGAATCATCAAATATAGCTCCACAATCACCAAATTTAGAATTACAGAAACATGAGGAGGAACAACCACAACAACAACAACAACAACAACAACAACAACAACAACAACAACAACAACAACAACAACAACAACAACAACAACAATACCAACAACAACAGCAACAATACCAACAATACCAACAAATAGAACCACAGCAACAGCAACAACAAACACCACCATCACCAGTTCAAAATCAGCAAGTTCAACAAATAAATATCCAACATTCATTAGCACAAATTGATTTCATTAACAATACTCCACTACAACCACCAAAAACTCCAACAAAAGCATCATCAAATCTTAGTCCAAAATCACCAAATTTTATTCCTTCAGCTCAAAGAACTCAATTACTTGTAAATGTTAATAACAGTAGCAATGTCATGAGCAACAACGGTTATTTTGTCACCCAGCAAATACCTACAGTATCAACACTTCTAATGCCATCACCAAACTCTCAACAGCCCACAATTTCTCCATTAGTTAATAACTTTAATAGAATTCCTTCACCAGGAACATTAAATATTGACCCAATGTTCAGTCCATATCAATATGGTGATGTTTATAATAAAAATAATAGTGGCAACATGAATAATCAACCTATTCATAATAATAGTTCGGCTCCCTATCAAAACAATATGGGTGATATAGTGAATAGTATAAATCAAAAAATGGTACCAACAAATAGCAACAATTTAAATAACCCAACACAAATTTTTGAACCATTTTTTGATTTAAGAAGTGGTATCTTGGATTCAGCTGATACATTTTTACAAAGTGGTGCACCTGGTTTTAGTAGAATTTTAAGTTTTAATGATAATAATGAGGAACCCGCCTCATCAAGAAATAATAGCAATGGTGTTATTGATGACTATAATGTTTTACCATCAAATTTATTTGATGACTCTAGTTTAAATATAATCGAATCTAGTTTTGAACAAAATCAATTAAAACAAAAACATTATCAACCCTCCAATACTATCCCATCTCCAAGATCACCAATTTCACCTCCTTCTATTCACCTTCAACAGCAACAACAACAACAACAACAACAACAACAACAACAAAGAAATAACAGTATTCCACAAAATCCATCACCAACTTCAAATAGTAATATATCTTCATCACCTTATAGTGGCTATTTCTCTTCTTATTTTGACAATACAAATAGCATATTCTCAAGTAGTTTTAACCCATCATCAACAAACCCACCAAATCAAATTGTAAATAATAGTACCAATAATAATATTAATAATATGAACAATAATAGTTTAAATAATATGAACAATAATAATTTAAATAATATGAATAGTAATTTAAATAATATGAATAATAATTTAAATAATATGAATAATAATTTAAATAATATGAATAATAATAATTTAAATAATAATAACCTATTTAATACCGATTCATTTTTATCAACATCCATAATTTATGACAATAATATAAATAACAATATCAATTCTTTTCCAACATTCCAAAACTATAATCTATTCGATACTAAATAAAAATATATATGGTTATATTCATGATCATAACAATAAAAAAATTTTAACCCCACATTTTTAAATTTTAATATCCTCCACTTTTCTAATATTAATAATCATTTTCATTATTATTTGTTTAAAAATGTTTTTTGTATTTGAAAACCAAAATACCGATTTTTTTTTTTTTACCAGAGTTACCTTTTGTTTTCCCATTCACGCATGATATATTTTTATTTTTTATTTTTTTTTTTATAATTTTTTTTATTTTACCAACAAAATTTCAAATAAAAAAAAAATCATAATTTTTAATTTTTAAATTTTTAATTTTTTTCTAATTTTTTTTCTTTTTTTTTTATTTTAGTTATTTATCTTCACCACATATTATTTATATTATAATGTCTACTTCGAGACTTGTTAAATGTTTAAATTCAAACCAACGTAAATATATCTTAAAGAGATTTTGAGCAATAAAAAGAAAATTAATTAATTTTTTTTTTTTTTTTTTTTTTTTTTTTTTAAATTTTTTTTAATGTTTTTTAATACTCTAAAGATATCGTTAGATCATTTGGTTCAAGAAGCACACCATCTTCACCAACACCAGATTTTATTGGAGAATACAAAGAACCAATTGTTAAGTAGGAATCAAAAATTTTATGCTTTAAAATATATTCATTTTTCAAATTATTAATAATAATTGTTTATTTTATATTATCTAAACTATAAAGAACTAAAACCATTCCAGGTCCAGAATCAAAAGCTTTAAGCGAAAAATTAAATAAAGTTCAAGACCCAAGAGCCGCTCATTTCTTTGCTGATTATGCGTATGTTTCTATTTTTAATAGTTAAATCATTATTAAAATTAAATCTCATTAATTTTTTTTTAAAATTTTAAAACTACAGTAATTCAAGAGGTAATTATATTGCAGATGTTGATGGAAATGTATTATTAGATTTATATTGCCAAATTGCTTCAATCCCAATTGGTTACAACAACCCAGAATTAATTAAAGCTGCTAAATCAGATAAATGGATCTCTGCAATCATTAATCGTCCATCATTAGGTGTTCTCCCACCAAAAGATTGGCCAGAATTAATCCAAAACTCATTTATGCAAGTTGCTCCAAAAGGTTTACACCAAGTCTTCACAGCCATGTGTGGTTCATGTGCTAATGAATGTGCTTATAAAGCTGTTTTCATGCATTACCAACACATTCAACGTAATGGTGCTCCATTCACCGAAGAAGACCTTCAATCATGTATGAAAAATCAAGTCCCAGGTTCACCAGAGCTCTCTATTCTTTCATTCAAAAAAGGTTTCCATGGTCGTACTTTTGGTACTCTTTCAACTACCCGTTCAAAAGCTATCCATAAACTTGATATCCCAGCTTTCAACTGGCCAGCTGCTACCTTCCCAGACCTTATTTACCCATTAGAACAAAACGAAAAGAAAAATAGAGATATTGAAAACAAATGCCTCCAAGAAGTCGAACATCTCATTAAAACATGGCCAATTAAAGTTGCTGGTTTAATCGTCGAACCAATTCAAGCTGAAGGTGGTGACAACCATGCTACTCCATATTTCTTCCAAGGTCTTCGTGATATTACCAAAAAGTATGGCGTTGCTATGATTGTTGATGAAGTTCAAACTGGTATGGGTGCCACTGGTAAATTCTGGGCTCACGAACACTGGAACCTTTCATCACCACCAGATATTGTTACTTTCTCTAAAAAAATGCAAGCAGCTGGTTTCTATCACAATATAGAATTCCGTCCAAGCGAATCATACCGTAACTTTAACACTTGGATGGGTGATCCATTAAGAGCTCTCGAATTAGAAGTCGTCATTGAACAAATTAAAAAGAACCATCTCCTCGACAATGTAACCATCACTGGTGACTATCTCAAGAATGGCTTATTTGATATCTCTAACAAATACCCAGGTGTTCTTAGCAAGATCAGAGGTGACGGTACATTCTTAGCCATTGACTTACCAACTGCTGCCGAACGTGATGCAATTATTGCTGCTATTCGTCTTAAGGGTGTTGAAATGGGTGTTTGTGGTGATAAATCAATTCGTTTCCGTCCAATGTTAATCTGTAAACCAAATCACATTGATCAATTCTTAAATAGATTTGACCAAACTTTAAATGAATTAAAAAAGAACTAAGGCAACCAAATTATATTAATTAGTTTACTTTTAAATAATAATAATAGTAATAATGTTGTTTATAATATATATAATAATAATGAAATTTTAATTATTAAGTTTTATAATAAATTTAAAATAAAAAATAATAATACAAAGTTTAATTTTCTAAATATCATTTTATTTATTTTACAGGTTTTTAATTTTCTCTATTTTGGTGATAAATTTTCTTTTTGGTCATATTTAAATAGAAAAGTTCCGGGGTAATAAATACTTAAGGATAAAATATTATTACTCTTTAAATTTTTACTAGATAGATATTTTTTTAAATTTGCAATAGTTGGGGAGCCTTGTGAAAAAGAAAACATAAAGTTTTCAATTGTATGGTTACTATTCTCTAAAATTGAATTTATAATTTGAATTTTATCAGAACTAAAAAAATCTAAAGATAATTTTTTGATTGATTTGTTGTTTGAAAAGATATTACTAATTGATTGGTAGAAATATTGATTTTGTTCATTTGTGGGTTTTTGAACTGGAGGGTTGTGATTTGTGGTTGTGTAAATATCGAGAGAAACTCTTCTGGAACACATGTTTTTTATTTCTAATGTTGTTAAGTATTTGTGGTTTGATAAAATTGATATTATTTGGTCCCAATAATATGAGAATATCTCCAATTCATCCAAGCTGTATGAGTGTGGTTTTGAATCTTCCTCATCCATTGTACACTTTTCGAATGAATCTGAGCAGTTGCAAGGTACCATTGGGGTAGCATCTAGACCAAAACTCGAGTTGTATCTTTTATTTAAATTGTAAATTAAATTGTGAAAGCAAATTGAAAAAGAAATATCTTTTAACTTTGGTGATGATTTTAAAAATTGATATAATGTTTTTACATTTATAACATTGAATTTTAAGTTTTTTAACCAAACCAATCTATTATCATTAACCTCGACCATATCTTGCTCGTCTTTTGTTACTTTATCTGTGTTGGGAACTAATTTTTTTAACTGGTATAGTTCTTTCCATGGAAACTTTGTAATTGTATATTGATAGGTATTTTGTTTTAAAAGAGTTGTAAATCCATAGATTTTAGCTCTTGAAAATGAATCTATTAATTTTCCACTTTCTATCTTACATGGAATTTGGACATGATCGATTCTTTTAATGTAAGGATGGACATCTTGGACACTTGAATACTCGTATAAAAACAAACTATTGATTCTAAAACTTTCGTGGTTAATCTGGTTAAATGAGGAGCAGTTGTGTTCGGATGTGATCCATTTTAAATTCTTTAAACATTTTAATGTTTCATTGATTTTCGAAATGTTGATTTTTGATAATGTTACCAATTTTAAATATTTAATTGAGTCTGGTTTTCTTAATAAAAATTTATTTTTGTTGTCTTTGGATGTTAATGGTTTAAATCGATCGTGATCTGATATAATTAAAGTCTGATTAACCTTGCAACTTAAAAAATTAAACCATTCCCAAGATAACATTGAAAATTTCTCTACAACTTTTTGATGGCCTTTATATGATTCATGATCTCCTTTTTCAAACAATAATAAATATTTATATATTTTTTTTTGAATATAAATTGGAATAATAATATCTGATTGAACTAATTCGTAAGTTGTTGTATTATTATTTGTTTCATCTAAATCCTCTGGTTCACTTGAATCTTCTTCTGATTCAATTATTTCTTCCTCTTCTTTATCAAATGTGTCTGATTCTATGTATCCATACATTTTTCCAATTAGAGATGAAAACATTATTTATTTTAGATTATGTTTAAATTAAAAATTTTATTACAAAAAAAAAAAATTTTAAATTTACAAAAATTTCTTATTTTTTTTCTTTTTTTTTTCTAATAAAAAAATAAAATTCAAAATTAAATAAAAATCAAAAGAGATATTATGATTATAATAAATAAAATAAATTTATAAACTATTTTAAAAAAAAAAAAAGAAAAAAAAAATATGTGGTATCTTTTTTTGCATCAACTGTCACACCAAAACTGTAAATTTAATCCAAAATTTTGGGTGTCCTCTTTTCGATGTGTTTCCAACCATGAAATTATTATTATTTTATATTAAAAAAAAATTTTATTTTATTTTATTTTATTTTATTTTTATTTTTATTTTTATTTTATTTTAATTAAATTGAACATAATTTACTGGTAAACTACCTTGTTTTTCACCTGTACACCAATCGCCTTCTACTTTAATAATATTTAAAACTTCACCAGCTTTAAAACAGAGATCTCCAAATTCAGCTGAATCGTAATCGTATAATGCAGTAGCAGTTCTTTTTGGTGGGGCAACAGGTGCTTTTTTAGCAGCCATTAATTCAGATTCTAATTGACGAATCTTTGATTGAGCATCTCTTAATTGATGTTCTAATGTTTGAATTTGATCTTGAGCAGCTCTTAACTCATCGTCATTACCGCCACCTCTGGCTGGTGGTGGTGGTGGTCTTGCTGGTGGTGGAGCTGGACCTTTATTAAATGGTGTTGGTGGAGTTGGTTTCATCATTGGTGGAGCTGGTTTATTTAAGACTGGTGGTGATGGAGCTGGAGCTTTAAATGATGGTGGTGATGGAGCTGGAGCTTTGAATGATGGTGGAGCTGGTGATTTATATGATGGTGCAACTGGTGATGGAGCTGGAGCTTTGAATGATGGTGGAGCTGGAGATGCTTTAACTGGTGAAATCATTGGTGGTGGAGCACTCTTCTTTAATGTACCACCTGATGGTTTTAATTGTGGCATACCGCCAGCAAATAAACCACCTAATTGTGGACCACCTGATGGTGCTGAATGACCACCTCCTGATGGTTTTGGCATACCTCCTCCCATTGGCATTCCCATTGGGCCACCGCCTCCTGGTGATGGTTTTGGTGCTAAAATTTTAAAATAAATAAAAAATAACCATTAATATCATATTATTATAAATTTTAAATTTCTTCTTTGATATAAATAATAATTATTTATATCATCCTTTTTTTTAAATTGAAAATGACTCTCTTGTTATTCTATCAATTTGTGTAGAACCGAACAATCTGAATGATAATAAAACTTTAGTCGAATATAGATATTTACCTGTAGTTTGTGGAGAGGATCTATCATTTGTTTGAGTTTTCTTTAATTTAGCGCCCTTATGAATTGAACTTAAGAGAGCAGATCTTTCTTGAGTTTTTGGTGGAGCTGCTGCTGGTGGTGGTGGAGCTTTTGGTGGTGGTGGTGGTGGTGGTGGTGGCATTTTGTTTGTTGTAGTTGTAGTTGTTTATTTATAAACTTAATAATAAATTAACTGGTATGTATATTATGTGCTATATGAATTATAATACTATTCGATGTGATGAATATGAACTATAATCTACTTTTTATCACTATTCCGCTTTAATATAGTGTATAAAAATTATAAAAATTACAAAGTAAAAAGAAAAAAAAAATAAAAAAATAAAAACAAAAATAAAAAAATTTTAAAAAATTAAATTAAAATTATTTTTTTTTTGCACAAAAAAAATCGATGTTGTGTGTGTGGGGGTAAAGAACAATATTTCTATTAAATAATAATAAGAAATATATCTGTTTTAATTATATTTAAAAATATAAAATACAACAACTAAATAAATAAATAAATAAATAATTAAATAAATTTAAAAAATAAAGTTTTGTCTATTAAAAAAAAAAAAATTTTAAAAAAAAAAGCAAAAAATAAAATAAAATAAAAAAATAAAAATAAAAATTTTTTCCCTCTCCCAATAATAGTATCATTCATAGAAAGTACAGAGAAAAAAAAAAAAAATCTATTAGAAAAAATAATATGAAAAAAAATTACAAAAAAATATCTTTTTTTTTTTTTTTTTTTAATAGTCTATTTTTTCCTCTCGCTTGAAATTTTTTTTTTTTTTTTATTTCAGATTTTGGGCTGAAAATTATATATAATAATAATATTTAATCAGAGATTGAGATGAAATACCTTTTTTTCTAAACCGCCTTAATTAATTTTTTTCCTTGGTTTTTTTCTAAAAATAAAAATTAAGGGGTAGGGGAAAACTTGGGAATTTTTTTGGATAATAAAAAAAATATTTTTTTTTTTTTTTTTTTTTTTTAAAAAATTTTGGGTCCGGTTAAAAAAAATTTTTAGAAATGGGGGAGGCGAAGGACCCACACCGTCCAGACGCTTGCGAAAAAGAGAAAGCAAAAAACTTTTGTGGGGTTTAAAGGGGTTTTCCTGGCGAATATAAAAAAAAAAAAAAAAATTTTTGTGCTACAGCGATTTTTTAAGAAGGGAATTTTTTTTAAAAAAAAAAGGGGGGGG